TGTTGTCTCAATTCATATTTTGAAAGATATAGCTCATGGCTCATGAATGGAAATCAAATACAAAAATTGCATTTTATTAACATTTTCTTTCCCAACTCAGTATTGGGAAATATCTTCAGTGTAATCCCATCAAAATGCATTTGTTGACCCTGGCAAAGCATACCACTTAACTGAATTTCTCTTCCCTAAGAGCTTTTTAAGCATTGTTTTGTCATGATTAAAGGCCTGAATAAGGGCATAAAAATAAATTATTTATTTGATAAAATCTTAACAACTGGCCAGTTTGCCTGTGGCTTTCTTGACCACGATCCTTGTTCCCTGGATTCTTGTGATACCTTTTAAATAAATTCCTCTAGCTCAAATGAGCATCAATTTCCTGTTCTTATCTCTCATCTCTTTAAGTCATGCTCATAGCCGTGGTTCTCAAACATCGTTGCTTTTCAAGATGACCTAAGGAGCAGCAGAAACCGGGGATGCCCTGGCCAAACTCCAGACCTGTGGAATCAGAAGCCACAGTTTGAGACCTGCTCACTGCTCCAAAGAGCACTTCTTATATATATATATAAAATACTTGAGATTGCCTGGATTGAAGACAAACTATTGAGGTTTTGTCTACTTTCATTTATTTACGAATACAAACTGTTAGGTATTAATAATGTCCAAAATTTACACTGATATTATTTTTAAGATTCTAAGAAGTACTACTTTTAAGAATACATGTCTATATTTGATATGGTGAGTGTTAACCAATTAATTTTATTATACAAACCATTGCTTTACCTAGTATATTAGTAAAAAATGTATGCAGTAATTTGGATGTAGATGACGAAACCCCACTTCCTATGCCTGTTCCTAATAGCAGGTGCTTATCATGAAAGCTTGATGGATATTTAGTGAAGTGTGCACAGTGCCATCTAGTGGTATATAGTCATCACTGCACAACCTAAATGTCTTCATTTTCTAAAATGATTTGATGGCTCAAGAGTAAACAACGTGTTTATACAACTGTCAGACTTTTAAAACAGACTTCCTAATAGCTTCCTTATGACTCTCAACTTAGCACATTTCTTAGTGCTCCTATCTCATTAAGCAAAAGGCTTGTGATCCTCTTTCAATAATAATTAATGGATATTTAAGTGCTTCTTAGGCACTAAGCACTATGTGAAGTGCTTTATATGGATTATCTCATTTGATCCCCACAATAACCCTGCAGTGGAGCAACTGTTTTGTTGTTTTTGTGGAGCAACTATTATTGTCTCCATTTTACAGATGTGGAAACTGAAACTTAAGGACGTTAAGTGACTTGCTCAAGGTCAGTAGGAGAAGTTGGTCGAACCTACTGTCCAAGAACCTGCACAATTCTGCACTGTGATCTGCACCTCCCAAAGTAGTTACCAATGAAATAAAATTTCCAAGAAGTCTCTATGAAAGAGGGCCTTCCCCACCAGGTCTCTAATGATCAAATATGGCAAAATCGATTCAAACTCCACTAACTCAGAATTTATGACAGTTAGACTAAATAGTATCTGCTTCTGTGGCTGGGATGTAGTTTAAGCTTCTTTTATATTGCCTATATAGTATATGCTCAAAATTATATGTTAATTAGGTTATTGAATTTGAGGGGACTGTGCTAAAACTTAGGTTTGGAGTCACAGATCTTGGAAATTAGTAAGAGGACAGTACGGCTGTAGATCAGAAGGTGTTTAATTATTTTAACACTAATAGCTATCATTTGTTGAGCACCTATGTGCCAGACTCTGTGGTCAGCACTTGTCTATCCTTTTTCTCTTTTCTCCTCACTACAACTCTCTCTGGATGTTATTCATCTCCTCATTTCTAAAAAGGAAATAATAAAATGTATAGAGGAGAAATAACTTGCCCACAGTTTTACAGTTATTAGGAGAGCCAGGAGTGAAACCTCAATCTTTGTGATTCCAAACTCTGCCTTTTGCCACTTTTGGAAGAGAAGTGTGTATAATGTGCATGATTATGTTTTTTCTCTGTACTGTCACCCCTCTGCAAAAATATCATTTTCTCAGGGCACCTGGGTGGCTCAGTCGTTTGACTGTTGGGTTTCGCTCAGGTCATGATCTCAGGGTCATGAGATCCAGCCCTGTGTTGGGTTCCACGCTCAGTGGGGAGTCTGCTAGAGATTCTCTCTGTCCCTCTCCCTCTGCCTCTCCTCCCCCCTTCTCTAAAATAAATAAATGAATCTTAAAAAAAAAAAAATACCACCATCTCTGCTGGGACCACAGCAGCAGGCTCCAGCCACTTCCGCCGTGCACGCTTGTCTATATCCATTACTCTCTTCCCTTACAGTCTGAAATGACATTTTTAAGCTGCATTTCTGAGCATGTCACTCTATTTAAAACCCGTGTCTTCATACTTTCAGCATAAAGACCAAAAGACTTGCCAGAGCTATAGTGCTTCGCCAGCCTTATCTTGTTCCTCTGGCCTCTTCACAAACCATCTCATAATCCCATTTTGTACCTAGCACCCTGTCTGTCAAGGTAGGTCATCATTTCTGATTATCTGTGTGATTGGGAATCATGTCTCTATCCACACCTGACTGTTAGTTCTCTGAGGCAGGAACAACATCTTTGCATTCTGTACCCAGACATATCCCCAAAGGACTAGATCCGGAGAATCTATAGATCAAGCATAAAGGAAATAAATACAGGAATCCCAGTTCCCACAGAAATTAACTTAATTCCTCAAGAAATTAAATAAATAAACAAACTTATAGATGCCATCTCCTTGGGAGTACCTTGGTTGCCAAATTGAAAAACTGAATGAATATCATTAAGAAACAAATAATTTCCTTGTTGTGTGATATCCAGAGAAGGTAACAAATTTGCAATCACATAAATCTGAATTTATCCAAATCTAATAAACATTTAAGTATTTCAGTTAGAAAGTAGTTTGTATTCTTCTGTCCCAAATCAGAGATATGCTAGAAAGTTGTGGGTTTGTTTTGTTTTGTTTTTTACATGATTCACATTATTCGTTTGTTCAAGTGTAATGTACTGTCTCGGTGTATCAGGCATTCCCACTTTTGACTTCGTGACTTTTTCCCATTTAAGGAACACCATCCCTGCTTTGTAGATGAGGAAAGTAAAGCTCCAAGTCTTCGAGCTAAGAGGGCATGCACTTGGAGGAGGAGGGCCATATTTGGATGTAGGTCTTCGGACTTCAAGTCCAGTGTCCTTTTGGGCTCCCAAGTCCAGAAGTTCAATAGATGTTAGTTTTGTTTTTTAAATATAGTGTTAGAAATGAACAAAGAGGTAGGAAACTAAAACTTGAGAGTTGGTAGCAAAGCTGGAGTGCCCATTTCTCAGGAACTGAAACGTGAGTATGTATTTCACTGAGAAAGACAACAATTTGTTTTCAAATGCAAAGGTGTCATGAAAAGTGAACCTTAAATGTGGTGAAGTTGTAGAGAAACTGGAATTTTCATACACTGTTGATGAGGATGGCAAATAGTACAGCTATGTTGGAAAACACTTGGGAAGTTCCTCAAAAATTAAACGTACACCAACCATACAACCTAGCCACTTCATTTCCAAGTATTTACCAACAGAAATGGAAGCATATGTCTATACAGATATTTGTACAAGATTGTTCATAGCAACTTCACTGTGCTCACCTAAAACTGAAACAATCCAAGTATCATCAACAGGTGAGTTGATAACTAAATTGTGATATATCCACACAATGTATATTGTTCAACAATGTAAAGGAATAAACTATGAATGCATACTACAACATGGATGAGTCTCAAGATAATTATACCAAGTAAAAGAATCCAGACCAAAAAAAAAAAAAAAAAAGAGTACATACTGTATAATTCCAGCTATATAAAATTCTAGAAAAGCATCTTGGAAAGTATATCTGTGTTTGCCTGGAATGAGGAGTGGTGGGGTGGATTAAAAGGAGCAGGAGAAAACTTTTGGGCTGATGGAGACGTTCACTGTCTTGATTGTGGTGATGGTTTCTGGGATATTATAACAAGACCTCAGCACAAACAGGGAAGAAAGAGAAATGAAGTTCTTGACTATCCTAGTGAAGAAACCATGACTTAAGTTTTATGAGCTACTCAACAATATAAGCCAAAACACTGTTCTTGACCAGGTTAAGTGATCTGTGACTAAGTTCTGCTGCTGCCTTCTAGAGATTACTTTTCCTTTTCCCCCTGACTCTCTTCCTGCCTTCCTTAACTTTCCCTTCTTTATTTCGAACCTTGTACTACAAAAAGTATATAAATGAATGAAAATATTTTAAATAAATACAGGTTTGATATCTTTTCAAACACTAGAATTTGAGTGTTGGTTTTCTCTCTCTTAAGGGGTCAGGATGCGCAATGGGAAAATGCTTTCAAGCCAGATAGACTTGTTAATTTTAATCACAAGTGCTGTATACTTCAAAGTTGCTAAGAAACTAGATCTTAAATGTTCTCACCACAGAAAAAGAAATGATAATTATGGGACATGACGTGTTAGCTAATGCTATGGCAGTAATCACATTGCAATATAGAAATGTATCAAATCAACATGTTGTACACCTTACACTTATGCTTACATGATGTTATATGGCAATTATAGCTCAATATTTTTTAAAAGTCAGGGAGACATGAATTTGAATGCCAGTTTTGCCATTGACTGGCCTTGGACCTTGGCATTTGTCAGTTAACTTCCCTGGTCCTCAGTTTCTCACATGTAACATAAAGATAGTAGCTGTATTTCAAGGGTCATTTTGAAGATTGGAAATAACTATCTACTGTGGTTTCAGGAAATAATTTTTTTGCTATTATACATTGCGCATCAAGTCTTTGAGATCAGGCACTATGTACATTTACTTATGTCAACCCCTACAGGAGTTGAACACATGTTGAAGGCTGTGAGGGGCCTTGACAAAACAAGACAGATGGTACATGTAAAATAATGAACTTACCTGTCCCTGCATTTGGGCTGATGTGTTCCCTCTGCTTTAATTGTGTGTAGTGCACCTGGTGGACATTTGGAACGTCATAGAAGCATTGCGGGAAAATGCTCTGAACAACCTGGACCCGAACATAGAACTCAGTGTGGCCCGCTTGGAGGCTGTGCTATCCACCATTTTCTACCAGCTCAACAAACGGATGCCAACCACTCACCAAATCCAAGTGGAGCAGTCCATCAGCCTCCTGCTTAACTTCCTGCTGGCAGCCTTTGATCCGTAAGCTCCCTTTGAACATCTGTTCCTCTCCACATGTCCGGTCTCTCCTTCCTCTTGTCCTTCTTGGTCTTTCTTCCAAATAATTTTCTGCAAGTAACCAACCACCTCTTTTTTTCTTGATCAGATACTTATCTCAATAAAGTCACTCTGTGTTTAATGTCAATTTAAAATGCTATGGAAAAAAAAAAAAAACTAGGGAGTAAAATAGTGCCATAGGAAATTGAGGATAATCATACTTTCTATGCTGACCTTTATTTAACTCATCCCATGCTTCCTAGAAGCTGTGGTTGTCTGAATGTGTTGCATGATGGCATGCCTATGGAGCAGTCTAATGAAGCATAAGATGGGAGGATGTTTTTAACTCTCTTCTTTATAGATTGTCTAAGACAGTGTTTCTGAGGTGTCATAACAAGACCCTAGAGCAGACAGAGAGAAACTGACAAGGGTTTCTTGACCAGCCTAGTGAAAGTAGCCATGACTTGCATTAAACGGATCAGTCAATAATGTGCCACATAAAACAATGTGATGCCGTCCACACACAACAATTGAACCTCAGCCTCATTATCTTATAATTTCCTCTCATAAAATCAGAGAATGTCAGAGCTGGCTGAAATATTAAAGACTGTTCTTCCAAATCTCTCATTTTACAGATGAAGGACCTGAAGCACAAAGAGACTGTCACTTGTCCAGTGTCTCTCGATGGGTTAGTGGCAGAGTAGGGATTTAGGTATTCAGCTAAGATTTCTTCTCCAAGGCATATGTGGCAGTCTTGTGAAGTGTAAAAACTTCCCCGAATTACTTTATCAGCCTAAGATTTCAAAAGGTCTCTTGCTGATAGCCCATAGTCTAGATATAGTAATACCATCTCCACTTTCACTACTGGTTTTGAATATTGGAAAGGAAAATTGCTAACTTGACCTTTCAGCAATCGCATTTCAAGACTCTCAAAAGATTTTGCTTAGTCTCATTGTCTGGCCAATGCTTGGGAATATTTAAGCCCAGCCCTGGAGATGTTCCAGCCAGGCTCATGTTATTATGCCACTCACAATAGTCACCAGCTGTCATTTTACAACCTAGAGTGCTAACAGAATTATTCGTGCTCGGTTTGACCAGTGTAGATTACTGTCTCGGGATGTTTATATTTTGAGTAATTCTCGAGCTGAAATAAACAGTTCTGAAACAAGCAGTCTGGCTTGATAGATCCCATGCTTAGCTTGTACACACTTCAGAACTGATGTACTGCTTTGGCCTAATCACTATGGTAACCGAGCGGCAGGCAGGTGGAGGAGACTATGGCTCCACATGACAGGTGACAGAATGGAACCAGGCTATGGAACTGCTCTAATGGCATTTCCATCCTGCCCCCTTGACAAGAGCATGGAAGCTTGCAGACTTGCCCCTAGTGTCTTCAGGGCACTTATTTGTTATAAGTGGAACAATGGAAAATATAAAAAGAGAAATATAATTCTTGCCAAATCTTAGAGTATTCCTGGAGGATTCATAAGGGCTCAAATGTAAAAAATAATTTGTATCCACTCCGTAAATATAGAAACGGGGCCAGATTAACAATAAGGAAGGGGGATTTTGTGAAATATATGAGAGAGACAATATATTCATATCTTATATTTTATATGATATAATATACCATACCTCATTATTTCTCATATTATGAGAAATATACAATAGAGTTAGGTTTTTCACTTCTGTTTGGAAATATTGGGAAGATCACTTTGAAAAAATGGGCTGTATATGTTCCCTAAACAGCTACTGATAATTATTTCAAGATTGATGAATGCTAAACTTAAGGACTATCCCAAGATAAGGAGCCATTGACATGAATGTTCAAATGGAATATTTGTTTGGTTCTTACTCTTCTTACGGATAAAAAGGGCTTTGATGTGTACTTCCAATAATCTCGTTGTAGTAGATTTTTTTTAAATATCCACATAGAGAAATCTCATTTTACAGATCTACAGACACATCCATAGAGAGACCCCAGTCTACAGATACTTCTGTCTTCTCTCTCTTGGCATAGCAAATGAGTATAGGCAGTTCTGCTGATACTCACATTTCCATCTGATGGTTTTTGAAATTCTAGACGATGTGAGATGTAAGCCATAAGGAAGCATCACTAACTGGGGAGAGAATATAACCAGAAATACTCACTTAGAAGTGAATGTAAGAAGAGAAACTTAAGAATAAAATGAATGTTCAATTCAATTTCTTATAATAGTAAACTCCTATTTCTCCAAATAAGATGCAGTATGGAAATCTGATGTCGCTTCCTACCACCTATCCCACGACAGAACCCAAGTGTTTAAGGGAGCCTTCTGCATGTTGGTAGACGTGAATGAGCCCTCGTACATCAAAGATATGTTGTTGCTGTTATAGAATCACTGAAACATTTGGGGGATTTTCTCTCATTTGCTGTAATTTAAATGAACATATAAAAACCAGGGGGAGAAAAATCTAAAATAAAATTAAAACCTGCATTCTAAAGAGGTCATCTATATATATTTTTGAAAAGGAAAGACAGTATAGTGATTTAAATTCATGAAGAACGAGAATAAGAACTGCATTCAGAGAAACTTGGTCATTGTTTCAGTAGTGCCTTAAAATTCACCAGACCCAGCAAGGTGGAGTCCGCCATGACAATGGTAACGTGAAACGAGGTTCAAAGCCCACTGCACTTGGCTGTGGTCCTGCGAGCCAAACTTGCCTTCTCACAACATAGTTCCCCAAAAATAGCAGTCCTTCCTTCTCTCCCCAAAGAAACACCCGGGTCTTAGTTCTCACACGGGCATGCTTACTGCAGACCATGGTCAGTCTGCTGGTTGCAAGGTGTCTCCACCAAGTCAGCCTCTTAGGAGGTAGAGAGTGTGTAGCTACATATGCAGGATGATTTCTAGAATGTTAGGGGCTAGCATTTGTGCCCAGTGGCTCTACTGATGTTTGCCATTCTGTCTCTGAATAGTCAGGCTCTTGAGTCTAGATTTTTGTTCTTCCTAACTTCCCTTCTAAAAATGGCTGTATCTAGAAGGAGTCAACCAGTCATCAATTACCAACCGACTGCTAAGCAGATCTTTCCATTCCAGACACTGTCTTCTCCAGGGTCCCTAGGAAAATGGATGGGTGCACCTGGGAAGAGTGGGAAAGGAGACGTCAGAATCAGGGAGCAGGGACTGAGAGGGAAGAAGGATATTAGGAAACAGCCTGAGCCAGTCTGTGCATCTCGTCTCTTTCTTCTGCACACCCCAGGAATGAGCCTGCTGCCTTCCCTTATTTGCTGACAGCCTGGCAATAGCTTTTCTTCTCACCGTTACTATTATTTTTAAGGAAATTGAGAGTAATGAAAGAAAAACAACATGACAGCAAGTTACAAGAGGACAATATTTTTTTTCAACAGCTTATGGAGGGGTAACTGTGATCTTGAAAATAATTCTTAAAAGTCTCTAATGGCCTTTTGGGGAGGAGGGCATCACACACTGATCCACTGGGAAGCCCTTCCCCTCTCATGGCTGAGCTGACTCCCCCTGCCCCAGACCTCGCTCTTCCTTACACATGATTCTGCTCTTCCCTTACGGTGCATATCTGACTGTGTGTATGACTGCCTCCCGCAAGCTACCGCTCAGCAAGGCCATGTCTCACTCTCTGTATGCACAGCACCTGAGACAATATCCAGCTCAGAATGAATCTGTGAATGAATGAATGAATGATCAATGATTGAGTTTTCTTAGCTCATCACACTGATTTCTTTTCATTCTTTTTCTGAAATCAAGTCCTCTTTAATCTCTAGTATCTTACCCAGACTAGTGAGTCCAAGGTTGCTCTGACATCTAGGTTCATAACCTCTATTTTTACTTCTGCTCCACAAGAGAAGAAAATCAGATGTCTGTGGCTACTAATGTGGGGGTATCCTATTTTCACAAAAAACTTCAATGTAGTTCTCTCACTCTCTTCTTACTTCCCTGGGAAACACGAACAACTTCAGGCTGTTGACTTAATCTCATTTCAATTCACTAGAACCTTCCTTCTTAGGGAAATTTCTCCTCAGGTAGATTATGTGACAGTGGCCTTGTTTTTAGCAAATGTTATTTTCGCATATATTCAGTCATACGAATATCACAGTCGGGACCATGATAAATATTAAAAGGAACAGTGATGTTCCTATTTTCAGATGTCAAGCTGTATTGTTAACGCTCTTCTCCAATGTTAGTAGTAATATACTAATTGTAATAACAGCTAGTATGTTGTCAGCATTTCCTGTGTGCCAAAAACCCTCCCAGTTTGACAAAATGTGATTACAGGGAGGTAAAACAATGCGCAGGTCATACAGCTTCATCCTAGATGAGGTGAGTGGGAGAAAAAAAAAAATCCTTTGTTTCAGGCATCAGGGTAAGTTCAGCTCTATTCGTGCTTTCTGTTTCTTTTTTTTTTTTTTAATGAGAATTAGTGTACACTTTTCCCCCCAGACCTACCCTGCTTTTTCAGGATATTTTTATTAGGTTCACATTCCTCACCTTCCCGGTTTGCGCTCTTTAGACATATCTAACAGAGTGTATGCAAAGGAAATATTTGGACTTAACTCATATTACATTGTAGATTTAGAGTCAGTTTTACAACAGCCATACAGAACTCCAAATCTATCATATAATAGTCTTTCACAGAGAATACAAAATCCTGGTATTTTCCTCTCTGCTCGACATATTGCACCTCGCTGAGCCATTTGAACATCCAGTCCCGCTGCTGAGCCCCTCTGCCCAAACCCCCTGGTGCTGTGAAAGGTACCACAGCGCTATTTCAGGCACGTGGATATAAAATATTCTGGAACTCTGCCAAAACCCTTCTGCCTTTTGAGTTTTAAAAATGATTTTGATGGGGAAGCCTGGGTGGCTCAGTCGTTAAGCGTCTGCCTTCGGCTCAGGTCATGATCCCAGGATGGAGCCCCGCATCTGGCTCCCTGCTCAGCAGGAAGCCTGCTTCTCCCTCTCCCACTCCCCCTGCTTGTGTTCCCTCTCTCGCTGTGTCTCTGTCTGTCAAATAAATAAATAAAATCTTTTGAAAAAATGATTTTGATGTTTAATGCAGGGTGTACTACAAAGTACATGGCCCTTTCTCAGCGCACCAATGAAGTGTATCGTTCACGTTTGAGGCTGTGAGGATGTGTGAGAGCAAAGGAAGAAAAGAGGTCTCTAAAACCGAATATTCTTCTCTTTTTTTTTTTTTCACTATCTATATGGCTAAAACTAGATATTTAACATGGTGTTTGGTGATTTTTTTTTCTTACCACATCTTAAATTCAAGATTTCCACAGAACATTTTCCTCTAATCGCTAAAATTTTGTTTTAGTAGAAAAGACTTTGTTCCAAGATTCTTACATGTCGTGAAAATAGGATCTCTTTTCAAAGAAGTTTCACAGTTGTAGATAAAATGAACAGCCTTAATGTCACTCACCTTTATGTCAGACTTAGACTTGGTGTGAGGGGCAAATGGAATTTCATAGGGGTAAAGTTCTGGCCCCTTCCATTCTGGAGAAACTCCTGCCAAACTCACATGGCCAGGTGTTATGAGGAATTCTTTTCCCAAATGTTTTGCTAACATGATGGGAAGCCCAAAGAGATGCCACAGCCCACTGAAGGATTTCTGTCTGTTCACATGTTAACTTCACTAACCCAAAAAATAAGAGTAATTATGTATGTGATCACTTCAAAATTCAAGGTATCACACGAGTGCACAATCTAAGATTAAGGACCGTAAGGTCAATTTTTGTAATTTCACCCAAACACTTAGCATTTCTCAATATAAAACTTAAGTGGAAAATCAAATGTCTTTTCACATGTGCATTCATTAATTTAATTAACATGTATTAAGAGGTTGCTTTGCACTAAGTGCCACGCAGGATAGGCTGGGGATGAAAGATAAGAAAGGTGAGATCCCTCACCCTTTCAAAAATGTGTATTAAAGTTAACTGGTTTTGACTGTTTTTCTCCAATAGACTGTGAGCAAATTGCGGGTAGGAGCCATACCTTACTCACCTTTATATCCCCAACCTGCGAGGCATTGTCAATAATTATCTGTTGAGTTTCAAAATGAGTGATCTATATGAACAAAATTATTCCCAGATAAAGACATGAGTTATGATAGAGGCATGTTGTGAAAGCCAGAGGAGGAAACAATTTTCTCAGTTAATTAAGCCACCAAAATGTGTGAGAAAGAGCAATTTGAGTTCTGTGCTCATCAAAATGCTTACCAAATGTTTTTGTGAAATGTGTTGGTAAAAGAAGAGCTTCTGGTTTTAGTAATCTTAAATAGAAAAATAATTCCTCCAGCCTGTTCCAAAAAGAATCAGTCAGAATTCAAATCTCATTTTCAACAACTTAAAATTTATCATGGGATTCTATAATTTCAAACAGGAAACTTGCTTGGCAACTTGGAGAAAATTTACATTCTGTTCCGAATTCAGCCTAGCCTCCCAGACCTATCAATATCTATTTGCTGTTTTCCCTTCTTGTCAAAAGCAGATTTTTCCTCCTAGACAACTTTTCCCTGAAACCAATACCTTCTTAGTTCAAAGAAATCAGTTTGTCTCTTTGTGAGGTCATGGGAAAAGCCCAGTGTAATGCAGTTTACTCACTTTTTATTATGATAAGTCGAACTTTAAAGTAATTTATGTTTTTAAACAAACTGAGGGTTCTAGAGGGGAGGGGGGTGGAAGGATGGGTTAGCCTGGTGGTGGGTATTGAGGAGGGCACATTCTGCATGGAGCACTGGGTGTTATGCACAGACAATGAATCATGGAACACTTTATCTAAAACTAATGATGTAATGTATGGGGATTAACATAAGAATAAAAAAAAAGTAATTTATGTTTTTAAGATAGAGACTCTACAAATCTTTGCATATAATTTAACCAAAGGGTAAGTGCTTTCTGGTTTCCATTTTTAATCAGTCACCTCTTAGGAAAATTTGAAAATTTTCAGAGTGAGAAAACAAAGTATAAGGGAAATAAAAGATTTAAGGAAACATTGACTTACAAAGCAATTTCAGTTTGTACTTTTGCTAATTTTTTTGATTGTCTTAAATACCCTTTAAGGTATTAATTATATGCTGGTATAGCAATTTAATTGAGTGGTTTTTGACCTCAAGCTAGAACAGGAAAGTGAAGTTAGTACTGGCAAGAATTTCAGGATAACTGGCCTAAAAAATAGAATATATTACATTATGCCAAAAACCAAATAGTGGGGGAAAAGAGGAAAGCAATGTATTATGAATTGTGTTCTTGCTCTACATTGAAAGGGAAGATATTAAAATAAATACAATTTTTACTTTAAAAAGAAAATTTTTAAGACAAAAAATGATAGGCTAACAGTAAATTTCATTTTAAAGCTCTTGCTGTGCCTTACACTACTGAAGAATCAACTGCACTAGCAACTTTTATTCGCAAAAAATAGCTCATGTGGTCGGGTCATTGGTTCTAAGGCCCCTCCCACCCAGGAAGTGGATCGTCCTGATGGATACTTCATCTACTGCACGCGGTATTCTCAAACACGGCTGGCTCTGCTCGGTCTTTCTTTAGTGGCACTCAGAACTGCACGTGAACTTGGGAGATGTGCTGCCATAGCGTTTCATAAAAACGAGACAAGAGCATAGACTTTTTCTAGCACTCTTCCCTGGTGTTGCCGTTCCAAGGCTGTTTGGCCTGCAGCATTAGGGACAATCTATGTTTTTCATCCTCAGCTCGCTTTGGCCGGTCTGCTTCCAGAGTTGTGGCCAACGGCCAACATACCATATTTGCAGTTTGACTGCTTTACTCCTAGAGGCATTGCGTGTGCGTACTCACTTTGGAACAATATGTCGCTTTCCTGCTCGTTTGCATAAGACTCCTGGGAGCTTCCTGTTAACCATCCTCATGAGCTTGACTTTCCACTTCCTAGATACTTAAGGGATTTTCCGAACTGTTCATGAATCAAACGGCCCGGTCAGGGATGATTCCCAATGAGCATCCCCTTGGGATGCCCCAACCTCTCCCTACTCCTTGCTTCCTTTGTTAATGTCACTTTTTTCACCAAAAAAAAAAAAGAAAATAGGGACCCTGATCCCAAGCTGACCTTAAGTAATGGCCTTTGGTATGGAATCTTGTCGAAGGCCTTTAGAAAATCTTTCTCCCCAACCCCCCACCTTTCTTCATCCTGTTATATCTACTGAAAATGTATTTTAAAAAGATCCACGTGGGGCGCCTGGGTGGCTCGGTTAAGCGACTGCCTTCGGCTCAGGTCATGATCCTGGAGTCCCAGGATCCAGTCCCGCATCGGGCTCCATGCTCAGCGGGAGTCTGCTTCTCCCTTTGACCCTCCCCCCTTTCATGGTCTCCCTCTCTCTCTCATTCTCTCTCTCAAATAAATAAATAAAATCTTAAAAAAAAAAAAAAAGATCCACGTGTACTTAGATCTTCATTGTCCCTCTTTTCCATTGTGGAGTCATTCATCTCCACTCACTCCTTAAATTCCTTCAAGGTTTATCCAATACCAGGGCTGAGCAAGGTCTAAATTCACCCAGCAGTGGTGTGCTTCCCGAGATCTACATTCCTGCATACACTTCTTAGTGACAAGGGTCACCTTTGCAATCTGGCACACTGACTTGCATAACAATACATTCCAGTGGCCTAATTTCACCCTTGAGTTCCTGCAAAACTCTCATTGAACTGCCCTCCACTTGGTGATTTATCTAGATTTATTGTGTCAATTTGGCAGAATCGCTCTGATACAACCACTCCTGAATGTAATAGCATTAATCTTGCATTTCCAAGAACAATACAGAACTGATGATCTCCCTATGATCTTCTTCATTAAAAACTAAGGTTTAAGAATTCATTCGTGAGCTATCATCATTTCATCCTGTGGAGAACTCTGTGCCAATATTACCTGTGGTCTATCCTCTTTCGTGAGTTAAATTGTTCTCTCTGATTCCTTGAAAGAAACTGGTGTTGCTCTTAAAGTCTCACATATAATGCTCCTCAATTTCTCTGTGTTTTGAAGACTACTTTATCACTTTATTGCTCCTATTCTTCCACATTTGGTAGATTTCCCTGTCCTCATAATTTGAGCCATGTTTCAGCTGAGGAAAGGGAACTAATTATTTCCTAAAATAAAATTTTTTTTTAAAGATTTTATTTATTTGTTCATAAGAGACAGAGAGAAAGAGAGAGAGAGGCAGAGGGAGAAGCCAGCTCCCCGTTGAGCAGGGAGCCCGATGCGGAACTCGATCCCAGGACCCTGGGATCATGACCTGAGCCAAAGGCAGACGCTTAACCATCTGAGCCACCCAGCACCCCTAAAATAAAATTTGTGATACTTCTGGTTATCCATGCAATTGGGAATACAGTGCACATGGAATAATTTTGAATGAGGTTTTTTACAACATCACTGCATTTTTCTTAACAGCTACCTGCGCTAAAATTAGCAAACAACTAAGTGAGTGGTCATTCAAAATTCTAGGGGCACATGTTATAATGATTAGTAGTCATTAATTAACATAAGAAGTATATTGTTTACTAATTCTGGGGGAGACGAAGTGGTGAAGTGCAAGGTGCTAGGAATTCAACTAATTTAGAAGATATGGTCTCTGTTCCCAGGGATCTCAGAGTGTGGGGTCACATTACATGCAGACATGTAAATAAACAAGTTAAGTTCACTCAGCATGATCGGTGCCAAATAGTAGGTGAAAGTGAAGGGGAGAGCATTTGCCTGCACATTCCAGAGCCAGGTATGTGATGATATTGAGCTGAGTCTTGATGAATAGGTGGGAGAGTCCTGGGCAAAAGGTGGTAGGAAGGGCAGGGGCATTAAACTTGGGACCGGGGAGTGGAGTTCAACAGAAATGGTAGCAGGTGAGACTGGAGAGAACAGGTGAAGTCGTAACCATATCCTGTAGGCAAACAGAGGCGATCAGAGATTTAAATAATGAAATACTATAGTCGAATCTGTGATATGAGTGTGCAAGCAGAGAGATCATTTAAGAAGTTATTACAGTGTTCACGCAAGAGCTGGTGAGGCAATGTCAGTTAGAATAGAAAGCAGGGAATGGGTTTAATATACAGGTAGGAGGTATATCTGAGTCCCTCAGACATTTATTCAGGTGGTGGGAAATTAGGGAAGAGAAAAAAGTCAAGGGTAACCCCTTCCCCGGGATTCATTTTTGGGTAACCAGGTACATGGTAAGTCCGACAACCAGAATAGGGACTGACAACCAGAAGCAGGTTAGTAGTGGGTTGGTCTGAGAATGATGGGAGGGCTTTGTAACGATCATGAGTTGTACTTTGAACATACTTGGTTTGACATGAAGTATCCAAGGGAAGATTATTTCTAATAAATAATTATATAGATCTGGTGCTTAGGCCTAGAAATATAAATGGGAAAGCCACTAGGATAGGGCTCAGTCACTTTTGCATTCTGGCTGGCTGTATTTGAGATCCTATGCTAAGAATGACAGCAACAAGGATGACTAACAAATCATCTGTCTCTGGAGTCCAGTAATGAACAAAGACACAATTATTTATTATACCTTATTCTTCTAATATGTCATATATATGGACCTTATTCATATAAATGATTTATTCTATATACTAAACCCTTGTCAATACTTTTCTTACCTTTCAGCCACATTATTATTTTAAATAACTCCTTTGATCATTCTTAAGAGTAGCAACTATCAAAGAAATGAATTACTAATGGGGTACACTGACTGATTCCAAGGATACAAGAATAAACAGTTTATCCCAGCTGGACAATCATTTAGCTGAAATGTTATACTTCTTTTTTTATTTATTTATTTATTTTTTATTCTTATGTTAATCCCCATACATTACATCATTAGTTTTAGATGAAGTGTTCCATGATTCATTGTTTGTGCACAACACCCAGTGCTCCATGCAGAATGTGCCCTCCTCAATACCCACCACCAGGCTAACCCATCCTCCCACCCCCCTCCCCTCTAGAACCCTGTTTGTTTTTCAGAGTCCATCGTCTCTCATGGTTCGTCTACCCTGAAATGTTATACTTCTTACAGTGTGCTCTTTATATCACATTTTGTGAAGGACACGTTACTTATACTTCCTGAATCAATGAAAATTTGGCAGATTTGGTGTCATTTAGGTGGAAGGAGCTCAAACAGAGCTCTTACATTTGCCCCTTTAAAATAGCAACTCTCTTTGAAAAGTAAATATATCACATACACACAGCTTGTGGATAGGAAATGATGGGTGGAAAAAAGTGTGATGGAAAAGTCCCCACAGTTACTCTAACAAAATTCAGGAATTCTCTGACCAAAAAAAAAAATTTTTTTTTCTGAAACCTTGTTTAAATAAATTATAGACACTGTGGAATCATCATGCATAAAATTATTTTATGAAACCCAGAGTGAAATCATGTTCTGTAATTGTAATCCATGACTAAATAGGACATATCCCTCTAGCTGCCAGTTCATGCTTTGAGCAAGTGACCTATACAAAGAATAACTTGAAGATTCTGCTCTCTCTTGAAAAAAGGAAACATTGAATAGACAGCTTTTCAGAAATTTGTGTTGAATTGTATTCATGGTCTTTTCTAAAATGGATATGTTCACATAATGTATGCAGCTACAGTGTCCTATGATTTCTACAGAACACAAAATGTCAGATCTCATTACTGGAAGTTCTCCAAATGACATCTTTTTTTTTCTCTCTCTCTCTCTTTCTCTCTCTCATCATAAACAGGGAAGGCCATGGTAAAATTTCAGTATTTGCTGTCAAAATGGCTTTAGCCACATTGTGTGGAGGGAAGATCATGGACAAATTAAGATGTAAGTTATTCTTTGTGTCTCTCTTTGCTTATTCCTCCCATGTACCACATTTTCTTTTCCCCATTTCTGCTATGTCCTGTTGCCCATTTGGACTTTCCTCATTCTGTGGAAGTTGTTTGAAATATAATCTTCATGGATCTTTGGATTTTATCACAGAAATATTTTCATATTAGATAAATGTTAATGATATGAATGTTTTCCTTCTACTTCTGGATTATTATTAGTTATAACCTGTTGAGTATCACCAACTAGACTTCCTGTAATATTAAAGTAAGATGTATATCCTTTCAAGTTCATTGTACTATACCACCTTACAGGCGTAAGTCCGTCTTCATAGGGACATGAAAGCCATGTTGGGCAATCTCCCTTTTTTAGGTAATCTAAAGCCAAAGCTCCTGGCACATTTCCTCATTCTTCTTAGCCAGTGCTGTTCAAATCACTGGGAATCCCAAAGGTTCCAAAGTAGACATTGCCAGGGTAGAGGCATAAGAATTGCACAGATCCGAAGGGGCACGTGCACCTCGATGTTTATAGCAGCAATGTCCACAATAGCCAAACTGTGGAGAGAGCCAAGATGCCCATCGACAGATGAATGGATAAAGAAGATGTAGTATATATATACAATGGAATATTACGCAGCCATCAAAAGGAATGAAATCTTGCCATTTGCAACAACATGGATGGAACTGGAGGGTGTTATGCTGAGCAAAATAAGTCAATCAGAGAAAGACATGTATCATATGACCTCACTGATATGAGGAATTCTTAATCTCAGGAGACAAACGGAGGGTTGCTGGAGTGGTGGGGGGTGGGAGGGATGGGGTGGCTGGGTGATGGACACTAGGGAGGGTATGTGCTATGGTGAGCGCTGTGAAGTATGCAAGACTGTTGAATCACAGATCTGTACCTCTGAAGCGAATAATACATTATATGTTAAAAAAAAGAAGAAGAAGAAGAAGATAGCAGAAGGGGAAGAATGAAGGGGGGGAAATCAGAAGGGGAGATGAACCATGAGAGACTGTGGACTCTGAAAAACAAACTGAGGGTTCTAGAGGGGAGGTGGGGGGGGGATGGGTTAGCCTGGTGATGGGTATTAAAGAAGGCACGTTCTGCATGGAGCACTGGGTGTTATACACAAACAATGAATCATGGAACACTACATCAAAAACTAATGATGTAATGTATGGGGATTAACAAAACAATAAAAAAAAAAAAGAATTGCACAGAAACACTACAGACTGAGAATTAACTGGATTCCAGTAAAAACATGTAGCAAAGGTGCATTGAGTAATTGTGGGCCCTTTTATGTACATTTTGTCACCAAATGTGGTAGTTCTTTAACCAAGAAAACACAAGAGTTTTGTTTGTTTTAGGTAAAGAAGCTGAGACTCGGAGAGGTAGCATAAAGTAAATCATATAGCTAAGGTGGTACCAGGATTTGAACCTGACTTTTTTTTCTCTACACCAGTGGTTCTGAAATTTTAGGATGTATAGAATCATCTGGAGGGCTCTTTAAACCATAGATTTCTAGGTCCCAGTCTCAGAGTTTTTGTTTCAGAAGACCTAGGGTAGGGGTAGGGGATGAGAATTTTCATTTCCAACTATTTTAAATGATGTATATGCTGCTGTTTAAAAGAAAAATTTCCACTTACCTCTTTCCCTTACCTTAAATATGATGAGTTTGGGCTATAATGCTATGTGGGAAAGAGCACTGTCATGAGAAGCAGGGACCCCAGCTTGTAAGCCCAGCTATGTGACTAATTCGCTGAGTTATTCTGTGGAAGTTACTCCACTTCCTTAGCCCTCGGCTTCCATTTTTATCCCAAATTTGGGGATTTTGTTAGATACCCGGAGGGTCCCTTCCAGCTCTACTCATCTGTGACTCACAGCCTCCAGGCACTTTTCTCACCTGCTGCCTGTCAGCTTCAGAGTGTGATCTTTTTCTTCTTGATGCACAAAGAGGGGGGGAAATGAGCAAGATACAGGAAAAAAAAAAAAAAAACTCTTTGTTCCTCTGGAATTCCCCAGACATACTCCAAGACAGAGTTGTGTCACTGGACCACATGGAAACCCCACAAGCACACATCTCCCCACACTTCAGGAACCTCCTTCCATGGACCAGTCAAATGCATTTCAGATTCAGAGAAGCCCAAGCAGGCTTTACAGGGAGAGATTAATTTCTCTTTAGCTAGCCTGAAAGATATTTTAAAAATTAAAAACTATCTGCCGCAGTGCTTGAGTGAGGATAATAGCTAAATTAGAAGGTGGTAGAACCAATGTCCTTTTTTAAAACACAGCTTCATAGTAATCCATGAGGCATTTCCTCTAGGGTTAGGCTGGGAAGAGAAAGCTGTGCACAGCGAACCAGGGCAGAGGAGGAAACTCTGCAGGGCCTTGTCTGCAGACCTCATGTCACAACTGGCCACTTATGCTGAAGACATTAGATACATGGTTTGTTTTTAAGTTTTGAGAATCATTTCCAAATACTTACTCAATGTTATATTAATAGGGACATGGATAAAAGGATTCCATATTAACATAAGTTTCAGGAAAACTGAGAGAACCAGTTTTCTGACCTTCCTGGGGGTCCTTGGAGCCTTTCATGAACCAAGCTAATCCTGTGTCATCAAGGACCACAGTGCTTTCCATCTTTCCATTCAGGCTTCACTGGTGCAGATTTTCTCTCTCTCCTGGGAGAAGGGGTCTGGCAATCTCAGGAGTCACATCTCACTCCAGAGGCCCCCAGCCTGTAAGTGTCACTGCCCAGGACTACACCAGTTACTGGTAACAAGAAAGGAATGCCCATGATAGTCATGGAGGAACCCACTCCTGCCTCCGGGGCTGGGAAATGCCACTGCTTTCCCTTCTTAGCGCAGGAAGAAATTTGGGGCCCATAAAGACCAAGGGAATGGTTGTTAGGTCAGCAAGGAACCATGTCTGCAGAGTTACAAAGCTCAAGATAACTAAGTTTCTGGGCAGATCTTTACCAACTGTGAAAGCCCGGCAGATCTCTTGCATGTCCAGGAATTCAAAGCCAACAAGGTCACCACGAGGGTCCTTTCTCCTCACCCCACCATCAGTGAGCAAGGCATGCATGCTACCTAGTGGCCAAAGGAAATCCTCTTCAGTGCAATGAAAGAAGTTGACCAATGCATGAGTCTCATTGGAAGTAGACCATGTTCTCCAGTCTGCAGAAATCAATTTCAGAGTCACAAATTCTGGAGAACAACAAAAACAGATAGTGTGATCATGAGATATGTGACGCTGCCCTCTCCCAGAGTGGTGGATCTGAATCACAGCCTAATGTGTCCCCAGCTCTCCGGCTGAGGAGTCATTCTTTGCATACTTAATCCCAAGAAGGTGGTTTTCGTGGTTTCCTGGTAAGTCGATTGAGAGCAATTTGACAAAAACAATTTAACTGAAAGCACTTTGCTTAGAAGAACTCTAAAATGTTAGTCAAAAATAAATATATTCAGTCACCAATATTTCTAGTTTCAGTGATAATTATTAACTGAATACACAAATATGGGCAAATCTGCCCACAGACAGCAGAGGCTGACTCTTGATGAGCAGGATTGTGAGTGTTTTCTCTGGTCTCCTTTTGCTAGCTGCACTTACTGATAAAACAGGCAAGTAATGATTTTCTGCATTGCTTTTGTACTAAGAAAAAGTAAAATGAAAGGATATGGAATTTCCAGGTATTTGAGGGTTTTTTTTTTCCCTCCTTTCAATTCTAATTCACTTTAAGCCACTATGCCACTGCTGTGCTTGTTTGGCAATTTCTCTGTTTTTGTACATAGGGATGAGAGGTATTTATTTGTTCCAAATAGCCCCTTCATGTGGGAGGGTGCCGGGCAAGAGTCATTGCTGAAAATAAATTAGGAACTTCAGAAAGCAAAAAGTGAAAGAGAAAATTTTAAACTAAATTTTTCAAACTGCTTTCAAATGCATGAAAAGGGGCAACAATTCCATATTGCACCACCGTTTCCAACACTTGGGGCAGCCAGGAACCGATATGCAGGGTGTTCACTGCGTACCTCCGGGCAGCCTCGAGTATGAGGCTGTCCCCTGCTGTGCTGGGACACGGCAACCTAAACAGAAACCGACCTAATCAAATACCCTGTTTCTGTCGAATTGTTCTTGGTCCAGTTATAAGCTGTTGTTGTAATGAGTTGGGACACCTGTTTATGTTCTTCCTTGGGGCTCTCAAATAGTCCTAAGGATCCTAAGAAGTTCTGAATACAGTACTGTAAGCCTGGAATGTCAGGTGCTGTGCTAAAGCTTCTGGGAAGGGCTGGTTTTGTTTACAAGACTAGCTTTGTGGCAAACACCAGGTATTTGTTGAGTTTCTATAACTGAACTGGTGGTTCTGTCTCCACACCTACCCCTGGGGTAATATTTCTAACTCACTGGCCTGCCTTAAATCTTTAGTATCTCCCACAACATCTTCTGGACACAACCTAAACTCCTTAGTAGAGCCTTAAAGCTCTTCAGATCTCTACCTCATCTCCCACCATGCCCTTGTGGGCACCCACGGCCCCTGGCACAATGAACTACTTCAAGAGCCTTGAGTGCATCCTGCTTGAGCGTGCCCGTGCACATCCTGATTCTGTCTTAAAGCCTGACTAGCTCCTAACTGTCCTTTATGCTTGGCCTAGAAGTCCCATCTCTCACCTAGGAAGACCTAGAAGTCACCTGTGTAAGGAAATCTTCCCTCACTGTAGAAGCCCTCTCTTCGAGCTCCTGCTGCACCCCGTGCACCCTACGGTTCTGGTGGTCACACCAGCGTGTTAGGATTCATGATGTCGTAGGATGCATTCTGTAAGCGCGTCTCTGCACCCTCAAGGGACTGGGACCTCCCAGAGGTCAAGAACTATGTTCTATTACTGACCAATTCACGAAATTGGAGTATGGCCAGTAGGTTAGATAATATTAGATAAGACTAGTGTATCAATGTTAGATATACTAAAATGGATAATTACCCTGTAACCCAGGGTAAACAAGCTATGGTCTGTGAGCTAAGATGAGTTTCCTCATTTTTAAAGGTTGTATAAAGTAAAAAGACGAGTGTGTGACAGAGACCATATATGGTCCACAAAACCCAAAATATCACTCTCTGGCCCTTTACAGAAAAAGTTTGCTGACCCCTGCTGTAGTCTCATCAGAAGATAGACCCTTACTCTTAGGCAAGACACACTGGCTGTGTTCAGAGGCAAAGGCCATGATATATGCAAATTAGTCTCAATTCAGAAAAAAATTGTATGTTTGCCACACATATATACACACAGATAGACATAGACAGATGATAGATGATAGATAGATGATAGGATGATAAAGTAAATAGAATAAAGTGTTCATAGATGAATCTGGATAAAGGGTGTGTGGGTGTTCTTTGTAGTACTCTTACTCTTGCAATTATTTTGTTAAGTCTGATATGATTTTCAAATAAAATTTTGTTTTAATTCCTTAAAAAATAATATAAAAAGGAACTATGTCCTGATGTTTCTGTATATTCATTGTTTAGCACAGTTTTACACATTTTGTATGTGCTAAGTTAACTTTAGTTGAATCAATGAATATAAATTCTTCTAAAATATCTATCATTGTGTGGTGCTGTCGGAAATACAGTGGTGATTTAGAGTATGATTGGGAACATTACAGAACAATCCCACTGGGGAGGCAAAGCCTATGCATTTGAAGTAAATAACAGAAAAAAATGTGATATGAAATTAACAGTAAAAATAGCTCACATTTCTGTACTATGTACTAAGTGTCAAGCACTGTTCTGTGTCCTTTACATCTGTATGTTTTTTATCTATTAATTAATTTAATCTTTAAAATACCTTCTATTTTATTACATGTACATATATTACATATCATAAGCATACTATATATGTATGTGTATTTTAATATCTGTATGTGCATATATATGTTGTTATATAACATGAGAGCCCAGAACTAAAGTACAAACACATCATTCTGATAGCTTCCTTAGAGTCCCCTCATTTCTTTTTAAAAACCAGAGTGACCATTCACAGCCCCTTCCCTTTGCTCCCAGTGACCTAGCCCTAGTTTGGCTGTTGCTTAACAAAACTTCGTCAACACAAACACAAATACGAGCTTCAAGTCTGTGAAAGGTCAGTGTTGGTACTCCTTCAGCTTTTGCTCTAGTTAGAACTGTTGTCTAAACTCTTCCCATGGGAGATTTGAAAGGCCTAGGCTACTTTTCAAAATGCATCCTGGCTTAGAAAAGTCCTGGCTAGAAGATCATCAGGATGACACAATTATAGTTGACCAACCAGCCTGAAAACACAAGATGGCAGCTCTACTAAGAAAGTCCATTTACTTTTCCTGGGTTTCCTTTTTCTACTTTTTATTGGAACTCTTGAGTTTCTATATATGGGATTACATAACAGCTTTTTTGCTGTTGGCAACTTTTTTCTTTTTCTCTCTCTCTTTTTTTTTTGACCAGTTATAATGAAACATAAGAGATAAAATGCACGAAGTTAACAGTTGTGAAGGTGAATGAGAACAACATTAATTTTGTAGCTTAGGTAAAATTTCTTTAGCCTCATAATTGACGGACTATTTGAAACACAGTAGAAATCCTTTATAAATGGAGTATTTGAAGGAAATGAGAGTCAGTTCACATCCTCAAAACATAATCCAGCAAAAGCCTGTAACACGCTTAGCGTCTGACTGCAGTGTAAAAACCATGTCCCCAGATTGCATTTTGACCTTGAGACATGTAGCCCAAAATGAACAGAGGCAGCACATTGAATTTACAACAGGTTATCCCAACAGCTGTGCCAGCCTAGTTGTAATCCAGCATGTGACAAACTGTATGAGAGCAGACGCTTTCATTCCCGTAGTGACTTCCACAGAGGAATTATAAAGTAGCTTGAGAAATTATGCCATTAATATTCACTAAGTGCCCATAGTGGCAGAAACCGAAGAACAGAGGTTCAGTGAAGACACAGACTCTGTCCAGGACGCCGACTTTACCTCATTGATCTTCCCCAAGGCCAGGCTTCCCCTCGACTACGTGAGTCAAAAGACCCTTCCCTGTAAATCAGGTGCCTTCCACCTGGAACACGATGATTTATAGAAAGTTTTCTGCTTCTGTGGGAAGTTAATCAGGTGTTTTCGTTACATCTTTATCCCCATTGCGTCTTTCATTTTTCAATATCTTAAACCAAACCTCAAAGGTCTTGGTGATAATATAGACGGGTAAATAGCTAGCTAGCTAGATACCTACACACCTCATGTTACAGTATATGTTCATTGTGTGTTTCAGTGAGGTCAGCATTTTCCTCACCTATACAAAAATTCCTTCCATTGAGTGATGTATGAGCTTATAATTGACCTCAAAATAAAAACGTGATGCTCTCTGTCTTATCAAAATATGCTAATTTTAACCAAATTAGTGCTATGTTCCAGAATCAGCTACAAAAAGACACCAAAGACAACACTATGCCAGGAATATTTCAGCATAACAATTAACTTCTATGTTACTTTTTCATAAAAAAATTACTTATTCTGCTACAGTTTTTGTTATTTGCAGCAATATGTCCCACTGAAACAGTGGGGAATATATTCATGTGGTGAGTAAATATCTTTCCTTTTCCTTCCATCAGATATTTTCTCCATGATTTCTGACTCCAGTGGGGTGATGGTTTATGGACGATATGATCAGTTCCTGCGGGAAGTTCTCAAACTACCCACAGCCGTTTTTGAAGGTCCTTCATTTGGTTACACAGAGCAGTCAGCGAGATCCTGTTTCTCTCAACAGGTAGGAAAAAAAGGAAGTGTCTCTCACACAGTGGTTGTCCTTTGGTATGTTACTCCGTGTCACCACTTAGACAACCTCTTCTTCACAATAACCTGTAATATCTCCCAGCCTCTGACAAGTGACCTCTGAGCCAGTAATTCAACTCAACATACCTGGAAAATAAGAATCGGTGGTACTTCCTGACAGTGAGCCAGGCACCATGCTAAGCTCTTTTCTTGCATTGTCTAATCTAATCCTTACAACAACCCTCTACCCTCGGTATAATTGCTGTCATTATCACTACACTATCAAAAGAGCTGAATTGTCACTCAGCCTCACATGGAACACGAGTCGGAGCCCGCTCCAAGCTTCACCAATGTGTAGCAAAGGAAAGGAATCATATAGCATATGCCACACAGGAAGGCCTGACGTATGACAAACACAGCTGCCTAAGTCCCCCACGACATGATACATTAGGGCTTCAGAGTGACATGTTTTAACTGGGGGTGGTACAAGTTAGCCCAGAGAAGCTATTGAGTATAGCTCAATACTCAATGTTTGCATCTGCCCAGTCGTGTACAAAGTCTGCCTGTCCAGCACCATTCTCCAGCACAGTACAATGGTAGTTTACAAACCCATGAAGTGAAGGTTTGCTTAAAATTTTTTGAAAATCCATACTAACCAAGTATATCCTCTAAAAGGATCCCTTACTTAAGAAATCAGGGCACAGCAGCCACTGAAAACCTGCATTTCACTGCCCACCTAGTAAACTTCATCAGTCTATTTCCTTGTGACCTAGGAGGTCAAAAGTGCCTCAGACATCCCTGCGGGTCATGGATTGATGTAGAATCATAGGTATCCATGCAACTAATAAGAGGTGGGACGGTTTGATACACCAAATGCTGGCTCTGGTCCCGTGTTGTCTCATCCAGAAAGCCTTTCTGACCCCTCACACTCCCCCAGCCCTAGGCCAGCTTAGGTCCCTCATCTCTGCCCCCAGCGGAAGCACACTCCTCTCTATATTTGTCCTTCGAGTTGGTAACATCAGAATGGTTCCATTCACCTAAGCCTCCTTCCAGACCACTTCCTCACCCCGCAGTTCTCATGAGTCCTCAAGTCCTGCTGATTTCCCCATCTAAATGTTTCTCCGACCCCTTTCCTCATCCTCATCTGTTGTCTGGCCTATTCTATTAACCACCACGCTGGTCTCCCTGCCTCTGGGTTTGTTTATTTGTACATTTGTACATTTGTTGATCGTTTCCTTCACTGTGCAAAAGCTTTTTATTTTGGTGTAGTCCCAATAGTTTGTTTCTGCTTTTGTTTCTCTTAATGACTCTCTTTCTATTTTCATAGGACCTCCGTGTTCAATAAGAATTATATATGATGTTACCACTGCTCAAAATTCCTTTTGAAATATCTTGTAGACAGTCCTATTATATAATTTTTTATATATCCTCAATGATGAGAAATTTATATATGTTAAAATCATAATCACATTTTTGGAAACTGCCAGAAGTGATTTTTAGCCAGCATGATGAATGATCAAAATGGGTAAGAGCATTTGAAGTATAAAAAGAGGCAATACAAATAAAAATAATAAGACCAGTGTATTTTTGTCTTTTGTAAACTGGCTGTCACAGCAGTTTGAATGATGAAATTTTACATTTTTTTGCATTGCTTCATTGGAAAAAGTACAAGCCATTCCAAGTGATTATTTTGAAAGCCAGTATTATTTTAAAATGATGCTACAAATTGTGGTAGCTTTTTCAAAAATGTTGTCTCATTACTTATACTTTACATAAAATATCTTTTAATAATAACGTTGCTATCGATCCTATAAAACTTAAGCTACTTAGTATTATGAGGAAAAGCTAAAATTAGAAATATCTGCTGATAGAAAAGATTAATTAAAGCATACCAAAATACTTTGTGAGTGAATGATAAGGATTAGTGTTAAGATAGGTGCCTTGAAAAGGTGCTGTAGCTCTTCACCACTGATTTCTTGTCTAAAGATAAAAAACTATCCCTTGGCTGTCTATTCTGTTCCATTGATCTGTTTTTGTGCCAGTACGATACTGTTTTGATTACTACAGTTTTGTAGTTCATCTTGAAATCTAGAATTGTGATGCCTCCAGCTTTGTTTGTTTTTTTTGTTTTGTTTTGTTTTGTTTTTTCAAAATTGGTTTGGTTATTTGGGGTCTTTTGGGGAGAACAAACAGATGGTTACCAGAGGGGAGATGGTGGGGAGCTGGGGATTAAGAGTACACTCATCTCGATGAGTACTGAGTAATGTATAGAATTGCTGAATCACTATATTGTACACCTGAAACTAATATAACACTGTAGGTTAACTCTACTGGAATTAAAATAAAATTTAAAAACAAAAAGCCAAAAAACAAAAAACTATCCCATCCACCTGATATTATAATTCAAAATTTCCAAAATAGTGACTTTTGCACATAAACATGTCATTTTTTTGTCATTCTTCCTACGATAATATCATGTACTCCTATAACTTCTTATTTTTTGTCATTTTGAAGGAAACTGATAATACATTCCTTTTCTACGCTGGGAAGGACCAGGATAGTGCAAACAGATGCAGACTGAATTAAGAGGAAAGAACTGTAAAGAGAAAAGGATTTTCAAAAATATAGATGGTTCTCTCCTCACAGCAAAGGATCACTCCCTCCTAACAGTACGCCCTCCTGATCTTGTATGGCAGAATCATTCATATTAACCATGAAGTATGTAGGACTTGCGGGAGTAGGAGGAGTGTGTAAAGGAGTTGTTCTACAGATGGGGAAGACCACCTGCTACAGGAATTGTGGGTCACACGGTTGGGTCAAATTTTACAGAGCAGGTCTACGCCTCATCTTCCCTCATCACTTTCATACTGTCCCTGGTTCACAAAAGCACCCCTCCCAGAACTGTTGTTCTTGTGGCAATATGGACTCAGCCTCAGAGGAGATAACCCAGTCCTACGAGTATTTAAGTGTCAAAAGCAACCAAAGGGTTTTAAATTCAGAACTGGTTCTTAACTATCAGAATATATTCTGTTTCTTTATATATTAGAGGTTAATTGGATGTCTTGTGTCTTTCATCTCAGATGGTATTTACATAGCAGGTCAATTGAAATTATTCTCTGTTCTAAATTTTTGTGGGTTTTTTGATGCAGAAAAAAGTCACCTTAAATGGTTTCTTGGACACGCTCATGTCCGACCCTCCCCCCCAGTGTCTGGTCTGGCTGCCCCTTCTGCATCGACTGGCGAATGTGGAAAACGGTGAGTAGTTACTCCTGAGCCAGGGCAGTTTTTAAAATTATTGAAATTAGGCTATCAAGTCTACCGTTATTAAGCCAAGGTCGTTTAGTAATTCTGAGTTTTGAAAGAACCTTTCTCCCTGATCAGTGAGGCCTTTGAGGTCCACTGCAAAATTAGGACTGTCAATTCCATACACTTATTAATCTCACCGTGTGTCTCTCAGAAGTCACATGTGGCTGTAGACTTGCTCTAGCAGAAGAAGAATCTCAATAATGAATAGGACATTTTCCAGGATTATTTTTAGGTCTGAACTTCCGATATTGGTGTTCACGGCATTGACCATTCCTAGGCACTTGGCCAAGAATAGGCGGGGGAGATGGAGAAAAAATTAGATAATGGTACCTTGCTAATCTTCGGTCATATGCTCCAAATGGAAGCTTTCGATGATTGTGGTTACATAAAGAATAACTTGACCAAAGGCAAGAATTTTTGTTTTTTAATATCTTTAGCTCATAGCATGTAGACAGTTACTTGGATTTGATTGTACGTTAGCTTCAGATCTCAAGTATTTTACCTTGCCTGCTTTTTTTTTTTTTTTAAAGATTTTATTTATTTATTTGACAGAAAGAGACACAGTGAGAGAGAGGGAACACAAGCAGTGGGGGTGGGAGAGAGAGAAGCAGGCTTCCCTGCGGAGCAGGGAGCCCGATGCGGGTTCGATCCCAGGAACCTGGGATCACGACCTGAGCTGAAGGCAGATGCTTAACGACCGAGCCACCCGGGTGCCCCCCTTGCCTGCTTTATAATTCAAATTGTCTGTCAGAGAGAGTTAAGTGTTTCTCAAACTATCTGAATTAGAAGCGTATTCACATCATTTATACATCTCTTTGGGCCCTGTCCATCTGCCTCTCGGGAAAGGAAAAAAAAAAAATTGTTAAATGGAGGTAATGTCACTCGTGAAAGAAGCCCATTCGCCACGCCATTTTTTGAACAAAATAATTCAGTTCTCTCATCCAGTTTTCCTCCTCTCCCTCATTCCCCTTCCTTTGCCTCCCTCTGTTTTCCATTTCTCTAACGCCTGCTCTCCGCTCAGGGGACAGTCAGTTGTGTTCGCCGGTTGTGCTTCGGAGTCTTGCAGTGAGCGGTGCTGGTCTCCTGGAGCCAGGGGAGCAGCTTGGGGCAAAGGCGAGTCAGTTTGGGTAATTTATATTCTCAGAGTGTAAGAGATGGGAGTGGAGAGGGAAATTTGTGGTTCGAAGAAGACCCATCCTCCCTCCCGTTTCATTTCCTCCCCTCCACACACGCGCTTGAAGAGGGTGCCGAGTCCGGGAATAAACACGACGCTCCTCTTGGCCAGAACGGACTCGCCCCGAAATCACGGCGCGCGGCAGAAAAACGCAGTTCCCGTTAGGCGGCCTTCTTCCTCATTCTGGCCCCGACTTTTCTTTTCTCATCTTTCGCCCTCCGTCTCCTCCCCCGTAGTCTTCCACCCGGTCGAGTGTTCCTACTGCCACAGCGAGAGTATGATGGGGTTCCGCTACCGGTGTCAGCAGTGTCACAACTACCAGCTCTGTCAGGACTGCTTCTGGAGGGGCCACGCCGGCGGCTCCCATAGCAACCAGCACCAAATGAAAGAGTACACGTCCTGGGTAAGGAAGGTCCAGGCAGCACTTGCCCTCGGGTGCGTGAGGGGCGCTCAGAACGCAAGGGGACAGCAGGGATGGCGGGAGACTCGAGGGGCAAGCCTGACTTCTACTCTAGCACGCCCCCCCACCCCCCCCCACCCCCCCGCCACCTTACTGGGACACCTCCATTGCTGCATCTGAACCCAGTGCAGCGTCCGAGGCCCCCCCCACCCCCCCACCCCCGCCACCTTACTGGGACACCTCCATTGCTGCATCTGAACCCAGTGCAGCGTCCGAGGCCCCCCCCCACCCCCCCCACCCCCGCCACCTTACTGGGACACCTCCATTGCTGCATCTGAACCCAGTGCAGCGTCCGAGGCCCCACCCCACCCCCCCACCCCCGCCACCTTACTGGGACACCTCCATTGCTGCATCTGAACCCAGTGCAGCGTCCGAGGCCCCCCCCACCCCCCCACCCCCGCCACCTTACTGGGACACCTCCATTGCTGCATCTGAACCCAGTGCAGCGTCCGAGGCCCCCCCCCACCCCCCCACCCCCGCCACCTTACTGGGACACCTCCATTGCTGCATCTGAACCCAGTGCAGCGTCCGAGGCCCCCCCCCACCCCCCCACCCCCGCCACCTTACTGGGACACCTCCATTGCTGCATCTGAACCCAGTGCAGCGTCCGAGGCCCCCCCCCACCCCCCCCACCCCCGCCACCTTACTGGGACACCTCCATTGCTGCATCTGAACCCAGTGCAGCGTCCGAGGCCCCCCCCACCCCCCCACCCCCGCCACCTTACTGGGACACCTCCATTGCTGCATCTGAACCCAGTGCAGCGTCCGAGGCCCCCCCCCACCCCACCCCCCGCCACCTTACTGGGACACCTCCATTGCTGCATCTGAACCCAGTGCAGCGTCCTCGGACTTAGAGTTTAGGAAGACTCACACTCTGTTACTCCTTGGGATACGATCAGCTCGGTCCTGGTTTAGATAACAACCCAACAAGCACCTTTGTTTGGGACATAATCTCGTTTTCACGGTAAGTTAAGGTTCTTACCGAGTTTTGTTTGGTTTCAGGGGTGGGAATTGCTTAAAAATTATCATTAGTTCCTTTTTTCTCAGATTCTGGGGTTCCGTTACACGCATGGCTAGAGCATAAAAGAAAGAGGCGTGAGCCCGTGGGCTTAGGGGTGCTGTTCCAGTTTCCTTTTTTGGAGGCAGGGAGGTTGTGGCTCTATGAGCAAATCATCTTTTTGTAAAGTGTGAGTGACCAGCTTGCCAGAGGTGACCTGTGAGAGTCTGTCCATGTGATGCATGTGTGGGAGGAATCTGACTCGGTGAGCTCGGGGTTCAAGTTCAGGGTTAGTTTGCTGACCTGTGTCTCAGTTACACTCAAAGATCGGGTCCCCTGGGGTTGTTCTGTGCTTGTGTGAAAGTATTGTTCTGTGTATGGATTGGTTTTTGTGGGCTGTGCCATCAGGCCTGCCAACCCCTCTTGGAGTAGTTCTTACACAAGAAAACGCAAATTTTTTTTTTTTAAGATTTTATTTATTTATTTGTCAGAGAGAGACAGAGCACAAGCAGCGAGAGAGGCAGGCAGAGGGAGAAGCAGGCTCCCCGCCGAGCAAGGAGCCTGATGCGGGACTCGATCCCAGGACCCCGGGATCATGACCTGAGCCGAAGGCAGTTGCTTAACTGACTGAGCCACCCAGGCGTCCCGAAAACGCAAACTTTTTATTATGAGTTTTTTCTATATTTTATATATTTCAACTAACGTATAGTCTTTACGTAAAGAGTAAATTATTGTTCTTTTTTTTTAAAAAAAAAAAAAGGAGGTATTCAGAAAATGCATTTTAAATCAGAATGTTCTTTCTAGGAATGATTATTGGGAACCGGCATTCAGAGTAAATATATTAATTTTTCAGCGTCTGTCAGATTCTAAATTCAAGTACGAGGCATCGCATACTGAGGGCTTCACACCAGTGCAGATGCCACCTCTCACCGTCGGTTATGTCACATGCTGAGCATAGCTCCGCTAACACAGAGCATGAAATGCTATTACTACTTAGTGCAGAAGCTAGGAGAAGATGCTTTCCATTTTCTTATGGTCGATATCCTACCAATTTTCAAACTTGTTCTATCTCACGTTCTGGAGGGTTAGTGTTTGAAGATTAAGCATTTTTCTTTTTTTTTTTTAAAGATTTTATTTATTTATTTGAGAGAGAGAATGAGATAGAGAGCATGAGAGGGGGGAGGGTCAGAGAGAGAGGCAGACTCCCCGCCGAGCAGGGAGCCCGACGTGGGACTCGATCCCAGGACTCCAGGATCATGACCTGAGCCGAAGGCAGTCGCTTAACCAACTGAGCCACCCAGGCACCCGAAGATTAAGCATTTTTCAATGATTGTTTTACATAAATGCTAACGTCAGTTTAGGAGCCTCTTTCTTAGAGGCTGTGGGCTCAAAACTCTATGGCTCTGTGGCAGGGCAGTGTCTTTACAAAATAGGATGAGACCCCTCAAGAGGACAAAGACGCTCCAATGTTTGTGGACGGAAACACAAGCTGGCTGTGTTTAGGGGTTCTAAGAATTATATCTCCTAACAAAAGCCAAAGAGGGACTTCTTGAACAGCGCTCCTATCGCTTAGCTTTTAAATAGTGAGGACAAAAGTCACTTCATTGTATTGCCAATTCTGGGCTCTCCACGTAAAAGGAAGTGACAAAATGGTACGTGGCTTCTCATGGAAAGGAAGAGCTGGTATAAAGATTTATTATATGTGGTAGATTATTTTTGATAGATTTGGCTGTGAAATTTTAAGATCTACATCCCACTCGTCTAAATGAAAAAGAGATAACACGATGCTCTGGAAAGAACATGAATTTTAAAACTCCAAAGACTCCGATTGAAGTTCCCCTTTCACTTTCAACTGGATGGATCCAGCCACGCCCGAAACATCTTGCACCTGGATGCCTGTGAAACCTTCTGCTCACCTGCTTACTTCCACTCCTGTCTCCTCCCAGATGGTTTTCTGCTCTTAAGCAGGAGTAATCCTTCTATAATCTGATCCTGTCACTTCTATGATTTAAACTCTTCATGATCTCCCTCTGCATTTGAGATAAAGCCCACGGTCCTTGATGTGGCATAGACGGACTTCAAGGGTCTGCCTTCTTCTTTCCTCTCCAGAATGGGGTTTCTTCTTCCTCCATCTGGAATTATCTTCCCATTCCCCGGAGTTAATATCAGAAGGACTCCTGCTGGTCCCTTAAGTCCCAGCTCAGATGTCCCATGCACAATGACTGCTTCCATTTATCACAGCATTTGCTGACACTAAGTTGCCAGAGGCAGGTACTCTGATGGATGATACCGGAACTTTAGTTCCAGCACTGAGCAAACTCCCTGACTTAGAGTAGATAGTCAAAGATTTCAAGAATAAATCAATGAATAAATGAATGAGTAAATGAATGAATATCTATTATGAAAGCAAATCATCTCCTGAAATGGTATGTAAATGTTAGTTCTTATCACTTCTACCATTCTTCTTCTTTCCAGAAATCCCCTGCTAAGAAGCTAACTAATGCATTAAGCAAGTCTCTGAGCTGTGCTTCCAGCCGTGAACCCTTGCACCCCATGTTCCCTGACCAGCCTGAGAAGCCACTCAACTTGGCCCACATTGTGTGAGTATCTCTGCCTTCCAGATGAAAAGACATCTTTGTTCATTGACACATGTTCACATCCATACAAAGGCAATTTCATATCAGTTGCTAGGGACCAAGTTTTAAATTTTAATTAAAAAAAAGAGTAAAACTAATGTGATTATAATTTTTTTATTGCAGGGGTAAACGGTACTTCTGTCTTGATGTATAAGTAAATTATGCAACACTAATGTTATTCACCTACAGGTAGAAAATATTCAAAAAGCATCATTATAAAATATAGATGTTAGTAGAGTTTTTACAACTGGACATTAACAATCAATGAAATTAACCATAATAAGAAAATTTTAAAGCACACTGTACCTTAATATCATATGTGCTTTGAGTCCCAAATATAAAAGCTCTTTGTTTCATTTATCTGCAGAGCCAGTCATCTTAAAGATATCAGCAAATCTAAAAATTGTTGTTGTCTTATCCCAAACTACACAATTTTAGAAGAATCATGGCCCATACATGAGAAGGTGGAAAAGAGAGGTTGGTGGTAAAATTCCTCAGAACTTCCAGAAACAGACTTTAAAAAATTCTTTCTCCAAAGTCTATGTGAGTTTGGTGGGCAGAGGGGGATGTGCCCAGAAATGGTGCTCCCACCCATTCCTTCCACTTCCCAGAAGGCTCAAGCCCTGGAGCTTCTCTCAGGCCTGGGTGGCCAGATAACAGGGGAGGCTTAGGTAGAAGAAAGTATTTCTTCCTTGGTGTTATCTTGCACTCAAAAGAAGAAACAAGCGCGTCATCTGCTTCTGTGCCCAATTAGGAATTACATCATCGCAGATACCTCAGAAAGACTCTAGAAAACGTGGTTCCCCCTCAATACAAACTGCTTTTTGTTTTGCACAGTTCGGCAGGACCTACTGCACTCAGGGCCTAGGTTTGCATGTTGACATCAAGAGGCGGCAGATCAGACCTATCAATATTAGAAATCCACCAGTACAGAGTTCATGCTTCAGGCAGTTCAGAACATGATCCATCAGAGGCGCCATGATGGATCTGAGCCCTTATGAAAGCAGTAACTCTTTCCTCTGATGGACCTAAGCAAATACCCTCAAATGATTTGTGCTGTGTCATGTCTATGGTTTTGTATGAATACTACAGGGCTTGGTTTGTTTGCTCCCAAGTGTGCGTGGAGGGTTTACTGCCTTCAGCAATAAACACAGCCTGGAGGCTTATGTTGCTGGCATGGGCTAAGCATCCAAAAAACTAACATAAACCAATTCTGTAGAATGTGGCTAACTTATTTTTGGAAATTTTGATCCTAAAAATAAGCCTTAAAAGAAACCAGGGATAAATAAATCTGTGGAGTATCCCAGAGGGCCAGTCACGTGCAGAAAACGACCTCGTACGAGCGATTCTTATTAAGGTCTCACTGTTTTTCCCCTAGCCAGACACAATCACTAACGTGCTAATAAATGAACAAAACTAAGTGAGAGCAAGTCTGTGCTCTCTGAGCTCTGCTGTGGAGCACTTCCTACCAGCCCAGCTGGGAGTTTCAGCCCAGAGAATGACGTTCAATCAGAGCTGATGGGTATAAGGAAACTAGAGAGGGAGTGGATGGGAATAGCCTGACTCTAAGAGCTTTGCAGCAGAACAGAATTAGGATGCTTCCTCCCACTGGGAGACAAAATTAGGAAGTGAGACAGAGTGAAATAAAAGTCAAGTTCATGGTCAGTCACACTGCAGTATTACCTAGCACAGGGCCTGTACCCAGTCGTGCTCTGGCTGGTGTGTGTGTGTGTGTATTTAATTGGCTGATGAGTAAACAAATTTTTAACTGTAGAGTGGCAATCTGATCTGACGTATTATTCACTGAACTGAGGGCAGTCTCTACACAATTTGAGTTCCATGAAGAGTTTCAGGATTCCCTTATAATTCTACACAAATGGGCCTTTTTCTGAGAAAAGTTCCATATATTTAACCAGATTCTCCAAATAGTCCTCGAATCAAAATAGTGGCCTATACTCACGGATAATATATTTTTCCAGGGTGAATGTCTTAATTTTAAAATGTGAATTGTGAAAAATATTTAATTGTTGAAATAATAGACAAGAAATTCTGCATGCAGAATGTCCAATCTCTATGAGACCGGGATTTTTTTCTATTTTTAGCTTTAGACATTTTTCTCTCATTTATTATTCAAATGTTTTTGTCCTGAACAGATAGCCATGTCTTTTTCTTTTGTGTCTTTTTTTTGGGATGGGGATAGCTCAGACTTCTAATTTTAAAATATGCCATTCATTTAGCTATTCTAAATTACCACAGGTATGTAAGGCTACTTAAGTGGTGACATTTTGGTATTTTGGCATTTGTTCTTAGCTGTTGTATTTCTTGTTAATTTTACCATGATTAACAGTGTCTATCCTATTCATTTTCTTGCTGCCAAAAGTGATACTTGGTAAGTAGTTCAATAGTCCCCTGTGTGCTTGTAAAGACATAATCATAATTACAAGTGGTTAAGAGACACAAAACAAGTGAGTAACACGAGGCTAGTTTAAAACTAATTCTGCCTTAAGCTGAATATTTTCCATTCACAAGACGAATGCCAATTTTTTTTTAAGATTTTATTTATTTATTTAACAGAGAGAGAGAGCGAGAGAAGGAACACAAGCAGGTGGAGTGGGAGAGGGAGAAGCAGGCTTCCCGCCGAGCAGGGTGCCCGACGCGGGGCTCTATCCCAGGACCCTGGTATCATGACCTGAGCGGAAGGCAGACGCATAACCGACTGAGCCACCCAGGCACCCCCAAATGCCAATTTTATGAAACTGTCCTCTGTGAAGGTCTTGTCCACAAGGAAAATTTTGCACTAGATCCCTGCGACTTTATCTTATGGAGCTATTTCTTTCTCATAAGAATAAATCTGTTTAAAATTCCCAATGTGACCTAGTTATTAGATAAAATAACTTCCCATTTGATGATGGAGGCAATAGGAACCACAGTCCCTTTGAAAGCCACCATTTGGTGCCAAGGTTAGTCATTCTGTGTCCCAAGTTCAACATTTCCAAGATGAACCTTAAACATGAAGCCATTTACTACGAAACTGCGATTTCACCTTTGCGGTGACCAGGTTCTATAGAGTAAATTTACCAGGCTAATTAAAAAGCATTCCAAGTCCACTTGTTTTCTCATTTCCTAGAGCTAGAGCACGATGGGAAAGTTAAAAAAGACAAAAGAAAACCAGAAATGTTGATCAAGTTGATTGTTTCAACTTGTTGTAAAGTTAAAATGAAGATACTTCATTCGTCTTACTGTTTTAAAATCTGATTTACCTAACTTTTCAAAATTCACAGAGGACATTTGTATAAAATTAGCATCCTGCTTATACAGTGAAAGTGTTGTGCTCAAGGCAGAATTAGTTTTATTTTTTAAAAGATTTTATTTATTAATTTGACAGAGACACAGCGAGAGAGGGAACACAAGCAGGGGGAGTGGGGGAGGGAGAAGCAGGCCTCCCGCTGAGCGGGGAGCCTGCAGAATTAGTTTTAAACTAGCCTCATGTGTCAAAGACACAGCCTAGGTAAGTAATGCAAAACACTCAGCTAGTTTTCGGAATGTCAGCTGATATGTTTAGAGTAGATGAAATAGTGAAGCTGCTGTTTCAACCTCACCCATCAAATAATGTCTGCAAAAATCTTAGAACACTGTTTAGCACCAAGTACTAGGAACCAAAAGTTTCGGTGAATTTTTGCATAGAGTGCTGACATTTTAAACCCTGTATAGCATCATTTCCAGTCCCATAAACACACTGGGATAAAGAAGTCTACCTTTTTCTCAGGATCTCTGCATTGTGGAATCCAAAACCAACTTTGGTTCCCTAAGGTAGAAACTAAAGTATTAAAGCTTTGTCTCTTGATCAAGCCAACACAACCAGATTCTGTAGGCTACTGTGATTAATATCTGGTGTTCAAAAATTCTGCACCGTCAAACTCAAATATAGAACTATAGTGAGACCAAAATTTCCTCTGACTCAAAATGATGCCCTGTCTCATTATCCGTATTCTCAACTCTCAATCCCATCTCATGGAACATATTCCAGTGAACCTAAAATAAGACTAAAAACCACTTGGAGATGAGATAGGAGTCTTAGCTCTATCATTTTGCCTGAACTAAGACATTAACGATAGGGACAGGATGACAGGCTAAAATGAAAAATACGACTGGGAATGACAGACCCCATGCAGTTGGGGTTTGAGGCCATGCACAATTCTGAGAAATACTGAACCCTATTTTCTTTCTCTCATCATATGAAAAGTTTATGGGATGCCTTGCACTATGTGCCCTATTATATGGAACATCCAGATAATAGACATTCAGTAAATCCTGTGGTGCCTGATGGCATCTTTGCATAGAACAAAGAGCAAATCAGGCCCGATATGATTTTGCAACTGGCTCCTTCCAGACGGGGTGTATTGAGAAAGAGCCATTGTCATGCGGAGTACAGGAGAAGTTTCTGAAACCTCTGCTTTCCAAGAGGATGTAGATGCTGCCTATCAACAATTTTTCAGAGGTTCTCCTTTTAGAAGACAGTGGACCTGGGGCTACCTCAAAGTCCTTGCTCGATTCAAGAATATGACTCAAGGAAACACCAAGGCTCAAAGCTCATGGATAAACATTCCTGTGGTGCCCAGAGGTTTTCCTCCTAATGTTTACTGGACATTCCACATTTTTAAGGAAATGCAACTTCCCAAAACGCTTAAAGAATTTCATTGCAAAATATAAAATGTTGTGTTGATCCCAGCCCCTTTCCTGGAAAGGTGGTGGATAGTTTTTTACTTGTGACTTCTGTTTGTTTTAACTTTCCACCCACACTGTACTTCGTTTTAGGCCGCCCAGACCTGTAACCAGCATGAATGACACCCTCTTCTCCCACTCAGTCCCCTCCTCAGGAAGTCCTTTTATTACCAGGAGGTAAGTTCCAATCTTATTATGAAATAAGCCCTCTCCTTGATAATGACCCCTAATTCTGTGTTAGGAAAAATATTCTAATGCAAGCCAGGTGTGGAAGATTATTGTTAGAAACTAGTCTGTAAATATCTGTCACAGGTTTTCACTTTCATTCATTTGGATGCTTTTGACGATGGCTGGGATGGCTTTTGGGATGAGTGTCACTTCTGGAAACTTGCATTTACAATCTCCTCACAGTAAGAATGTGGGGTATGTTTAAGTTTTATGACCGACACACCTGTATTCTATGTCGTTGAGAAAGTCACCTTCATAGCACTTGGAATGGAGAGAATTGGAATTTCAAGATGCAATGGAAAATTATTAGGTACATTCTGAGACAGTTTATAATCTCCTCTCATAATGTGGTGAGTTCTGGAGTTCCTGAGGCTAGAGGCTGAAGACCAAACTTGGAAGAATAGTTTCCATATAAGTGATTTCAGGGATAATAAGAAGAACTTCTTAAAAAGGGGTACGTGTCTCCTATTTTTACACAAAGATCCACGCCCATGTGAGCAAAGAACAGGTGAAGCAAATAATTCTATTAGAGCTAGCTTGATAAATACGCAGGGTCAAAAATTCTGCACCGTCAAATTGTTTGATCAAATCTCGCAAATATAGTACTAGGGGCTTATTTTATAAATATACGGAGAAGGCTCACAGGAAAGCAGAAACAAAGGTAAGGAAAATTAGAGTGAGTAATGAACGTAAGATTTCAAATGCCTTTCAGCAGGAAAAAAACAAACAACAACCTCATGTTTCATAAAGGGAACATAGTCTTTTCCCCCAGAGAGGTTTCTGAGGTACCAATTTCACTGTAATATCCTGGTACATTCAAGTGAGGATTTACACACAATGAGACTCAGAATGCTGCTGATTTTTTTTCCCTGAGTTCCTGTATTTGCCCATCAGCAAGAACGTGAGATGAAGATGTTCCCCAATTGTAATTAGCATAACAAATAAGATGTAGCAGTTCGTGGTGTTGCCTCCCTAAAAATTAAGCAAGTCTATAACAAGTGGAAATGAGGCAAAACTGAACTGCGGAACATCCAGAGTGAAATAACATGTTCTAGGCCCTCAGTATGTTCCTTTTAGCACTCCTTCGCAAAGCCACCAGCAGATTCAACCATCTTTTCTACCGTAAAGTCTAGAAGGGACATGGGGCCGTACCTCTATCTGGGGAAGATTTGGCACGATGTTAAGAAAGATGTGCTTTTATTAGGAGACCCTGCATTCTGCAAATGTCAAAGCAGAGAGAGACCCCATCCTTACTGAAGGTCGTTTTATATCATTTCAGCTCGGACGGTGCTTATGGTGGATGCGTCTAGATGGATAACATGGCTTCCTCTACTCTAAAATATTCCTATAATACTTTGAGCTGTTCTGATTCCTCCAGGGTGCGTGGTACCCATTAACCCAAACTATGATCATTTCCCTTTTTCTCCCATTTTCAGTCCTTTTGGAATGTTCTCTGTGAAACACAGATACATTGTTTAAAGTTTGCGGTCCTTGCTATCTATCACCATGGAGGTTAGCCTCTGGTTTCTGTTTTAAGGGTGCTGTTCAATAAAGCTGTGTACCCTGAACATCTTTCCTCTCTGCGTGGGCCTTGCTCTGTCCATGGAAGGTTCTAATGAGGTCTCATTGTTTGCATCCCTCAGGTTACCTGAGGGGATAAGTGCATCCAGCCCTGGGGCTGAGGAGCATTCACTCATAAAGCTGTATGTAAATCAGCTTGACCACAGCCCACGGTCAGTATCCCAGCTCTGAAGCACTAACTCTAGTTCCTAGTGCCATAGCTAGACTGCTAGTCGTCCTGCTCCATCACTAAAATCCTCTTCTAGTATGTCTCAGTAGAGATACTGTCATCTTCTGGGGCTTCATGAGATTCTGTTGAGCATGTTCAACCCGAGCTGGACTTCAGCTCTTTCCTCTCTTTTCCACTTCTGATCTTGACTTCACGGCCTCATAGCAGTATATATGAGATACATATATATGAAGAGTACCAAGCTGGATCTTCTTCTTTAGAGGAGTCTCTGCTTTTGTACAGTCTGCAAGACACCACATGGTGATTTCTTAGATTCTTGAATCAAAGAGCCTCTTGGAGTGATTGATCTTTAGCACTAACAGGGTAAGGCCAGGACAAGGTCCCATGGCTGGACCACATTGTGGTAAAGGACTTGAGAATTTAGGCCTTACTGTCCCACTAGGCCTGGGCCACATTTCCCGCAGGTAAGGCAGTCTGATTCCTATTACAGGAGCAATTTCAAAACCAATTCCACGCTCTCAGTGCTTACTTTCTCTCACTTGATGATGCTGGTGGTGACCCACTGTTTATTTCTTAACCATGTCCATACACAAAGGTTAATGGAAACCCATCATGCCAAATGCAGGCATAAATTAAGAGTCCTGTTCTTCCTACTACTGGAACTGAACCAAAGAAATATGACCTAGAGCTCTGCCCTCCATTCCTGCCCAATCCCAACTGCCCTTTTTAAAAATCTGATAAAACCAGGGTGCCTGGGTGGCTCAGTCAGTTAAGCATCTGCCTTCGACTCAGGTCATGATCTCAGGGTCCTGGGAGTGAGCCCTGCCCTGGCTCCCTGCTCAGCAGGGAGTCTGCTTCTCCCTCTCCCTCTCCCGCTCCCCCTCCCCCTCCCCTTGCAGGGAGTCTGCTTCTCCCTTCCCCCCTCCCCCTGCTCATGCTCTCTCGCTCTCTCTCTCTCAAATAAATAAAATCTGTTTAAAAAATTTAAAAAATAAAAATAAAAATCTGGGGAAACCGAAAACCTAAACAAGGCAAGCATGGTGCTGGTCAGTGTTAAGGCAGCATTAAGAAAGTAGGGAGGTTTGGCATACAGATATTTTATTTAGCTTGAGTTTTGGGTCTTCTGTATTGTGAGAGATCTTGGAAAGATAAAGCGAAATGAGAATGAATTGAAATCACCACTCCAGAATCCTTGATACAAACTCCTGGCATTACTCACCTAGAGTCCTTTACAAGCATACCACTTTGATCTTCAAAAGGCACTAGGGTATATCTTTGAAGTCCTTTGACACCCTAGCAATCTACCTTACACAGATTTACGAGTGTATAGCTCTGGTTACCACCACCGTCTGTCGCAGCCCTGTTCTTATTTCCATTTCTAGCTATGTACTTGATTCACCTTTCCCTTACTTAAAAGAAAAGAGGGAATTCTCAAAGGCACCCTCCCTTAAACTTTGGAAGTCTTCATGCGTGTGTGTGTGCGTGTGTGTGCAATTAGGTACAACATGGGTCCACACAATTTGTGGACTAATTCACTTCACTCATTTTTGTGATCATAACTATATCCTTAAACCTAGATTATTTTCTTATAAATGCACAAATTTACAGGGGAAAAATGCTGGAACAATGGAAGTCTCTCATCACCACTGGGAAAAGAGCTCCAAGGGCCACGTATGTTGTGGAGGCAACATTATCTACGTTTATGAAAGATTGACTATCATTACTACAAAGAGTATTGCAAGGGCTGACCCAAAAGACCCTCCTCCCCTTCACCGCCCTCAGCATCGTGCCCCTGCCTATCTTTGTTGGCATGGTGCCCCCTTTGTAAAATCTTAATTATCTTGATGAAACCCTTGCATCATTTATGTGAGAAAATTAACCAGTCCTATCCCATGTCACATAAGGCCCTTTAATTATAGCCAACATCTTCATTACCACAATAAGGACATTGTAAAAGTTTGAATGGCTACTTTCTTTACCCCTGATTTTAGAACCATCTCTTGAAGGTTCACAGATACTTTCACAAATGGAACCTCTAGAGTAGTAACTACTCACAAAAGGAATCACTTTGGCTATTATATATAGCATTTAGCCAGATCTTACCACTCTCCCAAATGTCAGAAAATTGCTTATGATTCATAGAGTGTGTCGAACACAGTCTAATGGGCTGTTTTCTGGTTTGTCACAGTGCCATCTGGTTAATGGCTAATACTATATTCAACTTAGTAGCGCACATGGGGAAGGCACATCACTCACCCCAAATACTCCCCAGATCCTGATTCTTCCCACCACAGCAACATGGTGAGATTTTTACTGGTTGACTGGTTGGTTGATCGGTTGGTTGATTGGTTTGGGTTTTCAACCACAGAAAAGGTAATTCATTGTATCTTTTTCAGTTTTTTTCAAACACTTGCTTACCCAAAGATTCTTTACCTAACAACCCAGTTTTTTAATCAGACTTAAAACATTCAAACTAGATTTTAAGCATTTGTGCATTGGTAATCAAAAGCAAATAGAAATGAAATTGAGGCACTGAATTCAACCTTGGCTTCTGAAAACCAACGTTTTTCCATGGTTAATTTCTTCTAAGATTAAAAACCATCCTTTCTAGTCAGGAAAACAGATGAATTAACACCATAAAATAGATGAACTTATAAATCAACCACCGTGAAGATTTCTTCACTCTTTTCACACTTTCTGGTCATGTTGTGTGAAATTTCACGAAATTTGAAATAGTCTTTTCAGTTAATTCTTTATTCCGTGTAGCCCCAGAGCTCCACTAATACGTTAGTTTTTTCCAAACCTGAATTAAACTGGTCTTCAGACTCCATTCTATTTCCTATACTGAAATATTAGTGCATAATTAAAATTCCAGTCACCTCTCTTCTTCACTTCAGTAACTTTTATTCACTTGCTAGAGTTGCTTTAGTTCTTCTCTGTGTATGCCCTATACCCAGCAAACTTTTCTAGATGCTCTCTTGACAAAAATGCAATTGACACAGCTTAGTGATATCTGGGGGACAACATAGTAAATGTAGTGAATCAAATATGACCTAAGAATTCTTATTATTTCCTCCGCAGTACCTGCTTGAAAGATAGTTCAGCTTTCATGCCAGTCTGAATTGATGACAACTAATTTTCCCACCGAAACACTGAGCTGTTTTTTATGCTTGTTTGCTGATTTGCATGTGGCAGATAGTTTATGTTTCAGATCTCAGATATTGAAAACTAGAAAAGGAAAGAAAAACAGAATTTTTCCAGAAATTATCTCAACTTGTGGACATTTTTTATTGTTTTCAAATTAGTTAAATTAGTTTAGTGACCTTGTTCCTAGCCTGAGTTAATCATAGTGAGAAGCAATTAAGTAAAAAACAGCTTTATTGAGATATAATTGATATATAATTCAATGAATATATTTAAAATAAGTATGCAGTTCAAGAGGTTTTGACATATATAAACAATATGTCATACATACTTATATATACACATGTAAATGAACATATAATATGTTCATATGTATTATGAACATATACTTTCATAAGTGTGAATATACACACATACATACATGTATGGCTGTACACATATATATGTGTGTATGTGTGTTTACATACATACATGAGAAGCAAAATTTTATTCACAATTAACAGTTAGTTACTTAAGAAGGGAGCCAGCTTTACAAGTCATCCTTTACCAGTTCAAACACCACACAAGTTTATCAATTATTTAAAAATTAGTAAAAATGAAAATATGTTTTTAATTTGCCGTTTGAATATCATTTTCTGTTTAACCATGATGATAATAACTATTTTATGTTACATAATTTGTTTATATAATACTGTTGCTCTGTGAGACTGCATCCAGGACTTTTATTTAAATCCTTTATTTTCATGTTTAATAAAAGAAAAAAAAAATATTTGACCAGAGCTAATACAGTAACACAGCATAAGCAAGAATGGCTTTTAAAACTATATTTCAGGGCGCCTGGGTGGCTCAGTTGGTTAAGCGACTGCCTTCGGCTCAGGTCATGATCCTGGAGTCCCTGGATCGAGTCCCGCATCGGGCTCCCAGCTCAGCGGGGAGCCTGCTTCTCCCTCTGACCCTCCTCCCTCTCATGCTCTCTCTCATTCTCTCTCTCTCAAATAAATAAATAAAATCTTTAAAAAAAAAAAAAAAACTATATTTCAGATTTCAGCAACAATCCAGGGAGCATTTGTGCATGATTTTGTTACCTTAGAACACCCCAAAAATGTAATTTACGCTTAAGCAAAAAACTCGACAGGGGTGCCTGGGTAGCTCAGTCATTAAGCGCCTACCTTCAGCTCAGGTCATGATCCCAAGGTCCTGGGATCGAGCCCCACATCGGGCTCCCTGCTCAGCAGGAAGCCTGTTTCTCCCACTCTCCCTGCTTATGTTCCCTCTCTCCCTGTGTCTCTGTCAAATAAATAAATAAAATCTTAAAAAAAAAAAAAAAACTCAACATTAGTTGTCACCCTTCAAAACCAAGGGTGAATTTTAAATAAATAAATATGAGACATTTTGAAATTACTCTACCATTCCAGAACCCATTGTATCAATGTGTGTGTGTGTGTGTGTGTGTGTGTGAAAAAAATCTGGGAAAAGGCTGTTTCTCTTTATATAAAGTTGCTCTTTTCCAGAGATCTCAAAAGGAATTGGTGAGAACATAGAGAATTCTTTTAGGAAAAAAAATCTAAAGGAATATTTCCCGCCTCTTTTCTTTCAACCAAACACATCAACTTCAAATTTACGTTGTCATCCCCTCCAGGGTATGATGGTCCCCACGCCCATTCATGTTAGTATGTGTGCAGGGGAATAAAGTTATACAATGGCAAGTACCTGGTAGGGGAAAAAAACCAATAAGAAAAAGAAATATGTGTACACACAATTTTAGAGATGGTGACCCTGCTTTTCCTTGGGACTCAGATTAGAAAAGATTTATATCACACATGGTCAAGAGGAGCCCAGGTAGTTCCCTGCTTCAGAGGATAAAAGGAAGAATGCATTTTGATTTGAGAACAGGGCATGTGGAAGAATGGGAGGCTTCTATAGCTGGAGTTACGTGCCAACCATTGTTGCATTCTGGAACACGGACTTTCCAGAAGCATTGCTTCTTGGGAAGAATGGAGGTGCCCATGTGTCTGATCCCAAAGCCCACAACGAATTGGAAATACGCCCCAATTTCTCTACACAAATGGCCAAGCTACCACGTGAAAATTTAAACATCTAGTGTATTCTATAAAGTATCGTGGTGTATGTTGCTTTGAAGAAATGATAATGAACTACGTATAGTTACTATCTTCACAACAACTGGGGAGAAAAGGTTTTCACTTTGTTTTCCTTCTTTGAGCTCCTGGGGAGGTGCAAAAGAAAATCTAGTGAAGATACTTCACATGAAAAGTCTTTATAGACCCAAGTTTAAAGTGAAAACTGCCTCCCCTGTCAACTCTGTAAGTTCTTGATCTATTTCATTTTGATCCTCTCTTGTGTTCATCATGAACTTGGCTTCCTCTATACATGGTCATATTTTTGGCTTCCCAGAAATAAATGATGAGGAGAAGAATTTGAGACTAGTTCTAGGAAGTCCAGAAACTATGTGGACACTGAGTACCAAAAGTCAGACATGCTCTTGGCACTAGATACTAAGAGCTGTAGCAAAATGAAGTAAATAGTGTATTTCCACAAATTCACAGAAGCAGAGAGTGTAATTTCCATATTTTCTAAGAACTGGTTTTCCCAAGAACTCATGTGGGAGGCAGACGGAACATAAAAGAACTTAAATGATTTCTTCAAACAAACATTGGCATTTCATTTGTTGAAAATGACAACAAGATGAAAAGAGATGTGTACGGATAGAATGTCTGCTCCTCTTCCCTCTGAAGGAGGAAAGGATTTGGGAAGAAGAAGGAAGAAAAAAGAAGAGAAGAGGGAAGACAGGCAAATGGAGTAGAGGAAGGAAAGAGGGGGCCCAAAGAATTGGGAGAAAAAGAATAAGGCCACCAAAGGAGAATCTGGGCCTCTGTTCCCTTCCTGAAACCAGCAGGACTCCTCCTGTGGCCAAGATGCAAGATGCCTTCCTGGGACTTTACTGACACATCACCTTCCTCCTCCAAGACTTCTCAGGCATAATTGGTAGCGAACACATCCTCCCAGTTGAGCCTCTTGTGTTTCTTTTCTCTGCTAGTCCTTTCTTTCTTCCTGTGCATTCAGCACCAGAGGTTGTACCCGCACAATTATTAAGCTTTTGATTTAAGGAACCACCACAATTTTGGGGATTCAAGGGGCAAAATGCATAACAAGGCAAGGAAATAGTTAAGTTTGGAGGGAAGAATCATTGAAATTTCACACCGTGTTTTGAGTGTTTTTGCAGGGATCTGAAATCAATTATATAGTAGGTACATCTATCTTGAGTTAAAAAGAAAAAAAAGTTGGGAAGGGTGGTAATTGGGCAGCAGAGAGACTCTAATCACTGGATAATGAACACAGAGGGATATGCTTCAGAAGACAAGGTTTGGTATGCTGTTTTGGTGGGATGATAGGAAAATACCAACTATGATGGCTTAAGGTGGTGATTTCGTCCTGATGGACAACTTCATCATCTTAGAAGGTGAAGATCAGTATGCTGAAAAAACTCATTATGTTCATCAAGAAGTTAAATTCTCCTTGAACGCTAATCATTTCATTGTTAAAGTCAATTACATTTATGTGCAGTTGTACTCTTTAAGTAATAGGTTCATTCCTGAAAAGCTAAGTGAGGTCATACATTCAACAAACACGAGTGCTACTCTCTACTAGACACTTTCTTTATAAATCAGATTTGATTTTAAGTTTGCCAGAGACCTCACTACTTATTATCTCATAGTATATAAAATTATAAAACAAGAATTTTAGTTACAATGTGCATAATTCTAACGTGAGATTGGTTTTCACATTGGTATTTTCTTTGTACTTCATGGTCTAAAAGAGTGGTACTTTGTAGTAAATCCTTAAAACTTGTAGTTGAAGTTTTATTTAAGATTTTAACTACTTTATAAGCCATCTTAACACATACATATATTTAGAACTTGTTGAAAAGTTGGGAAAGTTTGTGGTAAAACCTCATACTTTCAACCCCAGAAATTAAAGATTTGGTCATCAAACAAAGTCAGACAGTTAATTTTTGTATTCTCCATGAAAAGGGTGGGAGGATAGTTTTTGGTCCACTGGTGTTAGAGGGCAAATTCTTAACCTACAAAGGAGTAGGCTCCCTTTCAGCATGTTACATGTACAATTGTATTACTAAGGATCAATACCATATTTCTCAATGAAGCATGCTTAGTAGATCCTGGGTGACTTTCACTTGGCCACACTTTATTAATTATTATTTCTATTTCTATTTGTCATTTGATAAAACCACACTTTAAACTTTTTTAAACTATCATTTAAATTACTAAATGAGTGTTCCTCATAATGAACCTAAACTGGTAAGAATTTGCTATATTGATAGGCCTCTATTCACCAGTTATAGACACAGGGAATATGAATATATATTTACAAGGCTCAAAGGTTTATTTCTGTGTTTCTCTGAAAGCTTTCTTTGTAGCTTCTCAGCATGGGTAAGGTGACTTGTGCCTGGAGTAGTAAAGCACTTCTAATATGACTGCAGTCTCTAGGTAATTTTCAAGTCTCTATTCAACTCAGAAAGTTGGAAAATATAGGGAAGGCTGGAGAAGTATACTTTTTGAGTAGGATCTGAAGGTTGGCAGCACTTAGTGAACTATTGGGCCGTTTACATGATAGTCCGTAATGAATGTTGAATGAATTTTCATTATGTCCGGGCATACGCAATCTATTTGTTAAGCAAATAGCGAGGTCAAATCGGGGATCATGGAAGCTTGTGTAATTACAGTTATGGTTCTCAGGCCAGGTTTCTAGTCCTAGTTCAACTCTGTGGAAATCTGAAAACATCTGGAACCTTTCAAAATAACAAGAGAGCTGTCCAAATGGAGCTTGGATCTAGACTTGGGAGTTTCTGTAGCCAGTTCTATTCTTGAATGCATTGCTGTGTTTACGCTCTTCTTGGCTTTCCCATCTTATTAACTAGCTCTCCTCCCAAGGACAGTGAAGTAGAGCAGAACAAACTGCTGGCTAGGGCTGCTCCAGCTTTTCTGAAGGGCAAAGGGTAAGTTAAAGCCAGAGTGTACTGAATCCTGAATTAACTAAACTAAAAATGGAGATTTCTTGTGTCAAAAATGCTTTATGTTTGAAAGACCATCTTTGATTTAGTAGAAGCAGCTCTATTATAACCCCACTAATAGCACCATGTAGTTCTTTGGAGTAGACACATCTGTGTTACTCACTTTCTCTGATTTCCTTTTTTTTTTTTTTTTTTAGTGACTAAACTTTAGATTTGATTTTCCAAAGGATACTTACTCTTTGCTTGCAACCCAATCAATGTGTTTACTGTACAGATGAATTTCTTGGCTGTAGTGGCTTGAAGAATGCAAATCTGTTTCCTTAAAAGCTAATTTACCTAAATGGAAATCTTTATTTTTTTAAACTAGTGAAATGGAACTGTGTATTTCAATGCTTGGATTTTGTTTGGATTTTTTGTAGAACATCACTTACATTTCCTCTACCTGCTTGGTTTTCTAAATGCCTTTTTTATCACAAACTCACTCCTACTCACTCTGTTTATTTCTGTTCACCTCTCCTACCAACACCCTTTCTTCCTCCTGCCCCGTTTCAGGATACAATACAGCCTGAATGTGGCAGACAGGCTAGCTGATGAACATGTTCTCATCGGGTTGTATGTCAACAGGCTCCGGAACAACCCATCATGGTTAGTGCAGGTTTGGCTGCTTGACTGTCCTTAGGGAGGGTAACAGTCTGATCCCTTGACAAGAAGTCTCCGTGAAGGACAAGTGGATGCTACAGTGTCACTAAGTCATTTTGAACTGATTCAGTTATGACGTCTTTTATGATGTTAGTTTGGATACTTCCCACTCATGTACCATAGAATTCATCACAGCTAAAGGGAAAACTTGTGTAAGTGGATACCATGCTAAATATTAGCCTTCAGTGGATGCAGGGCTCTGGGTCCCACCGGTCAGTTCCGTGTTACATGTGCCATGTCAAATTACCACACAATAGTGATGCAAGAATTTGTCTTATTCCAAGGTCATGGATGTCTCTGCTGATTTGGAGGACAGTGCTCTATTAGTTTAAGATAGAAGTGAAAAGAGGAAAAGTGATGGGATGGGATCATACCATGGAAATCCTTTCCTTAATGATAACAATGGGAGAAACTATCTTTCAACTCTTCTCGGACTTACCAATATTTCTGGAGAGCCATCCTCTTAAAGCCTGCTTTCAAGTCCCAGAATATGGAAAGCTTACTTCCAGATGTGTTAAATGTATGAATTCACATAGCCCTGCATATTTGGATAAAGGCATTCATAAAGTTTTTCTCTATTTTAATTGTGACCTAGGAGATTCCTAGGTTGAAGTTACTTGGTTTTGATAATAAATGTACATTTGCAATTTGAATGAAAATAAGGGGACAGACTATGTATTTATCATATGTTTCAGTCTAGTTTAGACTCCTGTGTTTACAAATGTGTTTAGCAAACCAGTTCCTTAGAAATATTTGAATTTTGCTTAATAATTCTTTCTCTGAACTAAGGGCTGATGGATTTTTTTTTTTTTTTTGGCCATTATAAATATTAAATGAACCAATGGGTTAAATTGCCTTTAAAATAGCTGGCCTCTTTCCTCTACTATTTCACAAAAAGCATCCCTGAAACGTGATGGCCACTTCTCAGTCCTCATCTCCTTCATCACTTGGTATTGTTAGCCACTTCTTTGTTTCTAGAACTCTCCTCCCTGGACTGTTTCTGCTCCTGATGCCTAGAACGATTCTTACAAAATTAGTACATGAGATGATCTTAGGTGATACATTGATGAACGTTTATTAGCAGTCACATATTTATCTTAATTTGTATTTTTTAAAAAATATAACCAGCACACTAGTTTCATTTTATACTATATCCTACACTTCACAAAGGTAAAAATAAGAAGCTCTCTTCAGCTGACCTCACCTCTTTGTTCAAAGTTGCCAAACTTATAGATCCAACAGTTCCTCTTCTTTGTTACCTCTCAGCCTCTCAGAACCACAAGTGAGAAGAGTGATTGCTTTAATCTTATTCCCAGTGAGTTTGGATCCCCAATGTTATATGGTAGCTGAAACAGCAGAGCTAAATACTGAATTACAAAAAAAAAAAATGTATTGACATTCCTCAAAGAGTATTATCGATATAGATTCAATCATGTCTGAAGGCAAAGCTGTGGTCTCAGACCGTGTCCTCTCCCCCGTAATTCTGAGCACACTCCAGTTAACTTCTCCCACTCTTCTTTGACCTTTTCTGAAGTAAATTTGTAACAAAGAAATCTCCAAAGAGGAAAGCTCACAGTTTGTCACTACCAGCCATTTTCCCTACTCAAGTGATTGATCATACTGACTTGATGGTCACTTAAGACAGTAAAACTGTCTCCACGGAGACACCTCACATCTACTTGATGAAAGCGAGAGGTGATATTTATTTCAAAAACAAAGCAGAACTTAAGACTGATCAGCGAAGCAGGCTGCTTGTTAAGAACTGCTGCCCTCCATATTTCTTTATGCTTTTTTCTGTTCTTAGAAATTTCCAACTTTTCTTCTGAATTTCTCGTTTATCTTCTCTTTCCTTTGTATTGAATTAGATCCTAACAATTCCCCACACCTGCCATGATTATGTAAGTGATGTAGTGCTCTCTCACCTTCTCTGTCATCTTAATAGCTAATAATGCTTCACCATCCTTCAACTCTGGGGAGATATGAAAGGGTAATAATCATAAAAGCTACCATTTTTTAAAGCACAGGCCTCCTGCTAAACACTGTGTAAAAACTTTATTTACGGGGCGCCTGGGTGGCTCAGTTGGTTAAGCGACTGCTTTCGGCTCAGGTCATGATCCTGGAGTCCCTGGATCGAGTCCCGCATCAGGCTCCCTGCTTGGCAGGGAGTCTGCTTCTCCCTCTGACCCTCCCGACCATCCCCCCTCTCATGCTCTCTCTCTCTCAGTCTCTCTCTCTCAAATAAATAAATAAAATCTTTAAAAAAAAAAAAAAAAAAAAACTTTATTTACGTAATTTCCCCTAGTCCTTAGAGTAAACCCATAGAGTAAATGTATTCATCCCCATTTTATAGATAAATAAAGGTATCAATTTACAGAGTTTACATGACTCTCCCACCGTCACATAGCTATGAAACAGTGGATCAGGAACTTTAACCATAATCTACTGGATCCCAAACTCCTAATCACTATGCTACATTGCCTATTATAAAACCTACATAAACATGTGCCTTCCAGAAAGCTTTTCTGGACATTACTCTGCACTGCATCTACCACATAGCTGTTTCCTGAAATTGCAAATCCTACCACATTCTTTTTATTTCATTTTAATGATATTTTGAGCACATGCTAGTAATAGGAACTGTGGTTGTTAATATTACCATTTTTGTATGTAGTCTATGCATTGTGGTTTTCCGTTTTACAGTCTTCAAAAGAGCAAAAATGTTGTCTTTAGCCTCCTGTATTTCATCATGGCAGCCAGAATATGAATAATAAATTTTACATCTATGAAGTGCTTCAAAAATTACAGAGCCCTCTCTTATTCATTATTTGCTCACCAAAGCTCTGTACGTTTAGATATTATTAATTCCGTTTCACTGATAAGAAAATGCTAGCTCTGGCACATTAAGAGACTTCTCCAAGGTCATATGCTAGCAAGGGCTTGCATACAGGCCTTCTGACACTGGGTCCCATCTATTTGCAACCCCCTTCCTCACGCTCCCTATATCTGCACCCTTCATGAGATGGTCTATAAACAGGAACTTAATAGCTGTTCTTAATTAAAAGATTTGTTTTTATAATTATTCATATTTGCTCCGGATTAACTCTGTGTGGGAGACTTTTCCCCATATTAACTACTTAATACGATGGGAAACTGACTCATTTGTAAATAGTCTACTGCTAAATTAGAGAAACACTTCTGTGTCCTTTCAGGTTCTGATGTCAAAGAAGACAAATAAATGCACTGTAGCTCAAGGGAGAATTCCTGCTGTCTTCCTAATACAATGAAGTTTTAAAAGCCTTAATGGTTTTCAGCCATCTTCTCCAGTGGGGGAGAAAGGGTATTAAAATGTAATACAGTGGGGCGCCTGGGTGGCTCGGTTGGTTAGGCGGCTGACTGCCTTCGGCTCAGGTCATGATCCTGGAGTCCCGGGATCGAGTCCCGCATCAGGCTCCCTGCTCGGCGGGGAGTCTGCTTCTCCCTCTGACCCTCCCCCTCTCATGCTCTCTCTCTATCTCATTCTCTCTCTCAAATAAATAAAAAAATCTTTAAAAAAAAATGTAATACAGTGAGGGCTTTTTCTGCCTGTCCCTAAAGCTCATCAAGTGCTGGGCTTGCTAGTGGTTTATAAGGACCCATTGTGGCAGGCAGACTAAAAAGATCGGAAACGAGCCCCGAACTTCCAACTCTACCCATAATTATATCCTTGATACTTACCATATTCATAAGCTTCTGCATATTACTCTCAGCTCTGAAAAGACCCCCTGTGTAAGGGAGGGAGGGCGTGCAGTTAAAGGCTACCGTCCATACCTTGATGTCATGATCAATTACTGTCACTTAGCTATTAGACCCCTGATCACATATAAATAGGTTAAAATTTGTTTTGCTTATGTTTTTCTCAAGTACAGGAAATTATATATTTGATGCCATTTCTAGGTTTCATATATGAGGTCTAAATTTTTATTGGCTTGCCTGCTTAAAACCCTTTAATAGATCCCACGGCACTTGGTTTACAACCCAGACCCCTCACCAGGCCTACAAGCCTGTGCACGATCCATCCCTTGCCTAGTCCTGTCTCAGGCCCAGTCTCATGGGCTTCTCCCACTCAATCCCAATACTTAGCAGCATCCACTTTAATCAGTCCCTAAAACTGGCTCAAGACCATGATACTAGTTCTTGCCTATGCCAAGAACATTCTTCCCACTTTACCCTTGCCCTGTCTGGCCACACACACGTACATTGGCTCCCTTTACATGTATGTAAAGGCTGCTTCTCTGGCTTCCAAACTCAGATTAAAGGCATCTCCTCAAGTAGGTCTCCCATACTAGTCTCTATCATGGCATACTGTTTATTTCATTCTTACCATAACTGTAATCATTGGTTGGTCAGTTGGTTGGTTCATTAGTTTACCAGCTGCCCTCTCTGTAGAGCAGGGAGCTTCTCTAACTTGTTCTTTACCATATCTCTGGGACCTAACACAGTGCCTGGCACACAGTAGGTACACAATAAATCTCTGTTGATGTCATGGGATATTGATGGTGCTATAGGTATAAAATTCCCTCTCACCCTAAACAAAATTGTTAGTACTTCTCAGAAAATCTTTTTTACTAGTAAAATAAATATTTTTACTACTTTAAAAAAAAAAATCACCTATTATAAATTAGCCCTTAGGTTGAACATTTAGCGTAGGAGTATAAAGTAGGTGAAAAAGTAAAGTATTAAGCTTTACGTAGAGAGTGGTGGTAAACCTGGATAAAGACAAGCATCAGCAATTCACTGACATGGGGAAAGCAACTGATGGGGGGGGGGTAACTAAACTAAAAGTGATATTGGGAAATAATTTTTTTTAATTTTAATGTTCTCTGATCTCTTCCACTTTGTATTAGTTTGCTAGGGCCGCTATAACAAAATAACACAGACTGTGCATCTTAGACAACAGAAATTTATTT